AATAGGCAGGAGCTAAAAGCAGGTTGGAATAGGGAGCACAAAAGCGGGTTACATGGCGCCGTTGGGGCATATAATTATATCTGCCTGTCCATCTTCCTCGGCTAACGTCATATGCAACCATCTGGTATTCTCATCCAGCCTGACCCGTCCCTTCATCGCTGCAGCCGAGTCCATGTCGCTCCGCGCCATCCCCTTGGATCTACTTCCTCTCTCTCTTGCGTACATCTTTGTTCTAACTTGGCGATTACTATCCGTGGGCTGATGAATACGAGTTCAGCAGATATAGCCATCGACCATCGACATCTACAACCGTGGCCCCACGTTCGTCAGCTTCGTCCAACCTGGAGACCAGGAACCATGCTGAAGCGCATCTTCTCCCTCACCGAAAATAATCACGGCACGTCCATGACGGTACGAGTCTGTATTCGAGCATGGAGGCTGATTCTAGAAGAGGGCGCCATCCCGGCTGGTTCCTATTCACACGATTCAACATTGACCCAATCCCTTGAGTCTTGTAGATCCAGATGGACGCTTCGAACTGGCTGTGACATAGGACGCCGGGATAAGACCAACCGAAGCCATGCTCGCCAAACCGGGCCAGATATGTCCTCAAGCCACAATGCCAATGAGACCGAGCCCCAGGGGTTGCTGATGACTGCCAACTGAGAAATATCCCCGAGACGGCGATGCTCCAGCCACGCAAATGTCAGGCCCAAGCATATGGTATCTTACGACCAAGCTCTGTGCGGCAGAAAACGGTTCCGCTGTCATCTGGGGTGCACCTCGAAGAGGTTCGAGCCTTGCGCAACAGTTGAGATTACACTCCCAGGCCCCTGAATCGATCTATCAGCGAGAGAAGAGAGACGGAGTCTGGCAACTGTACCATGCAAGGCCATGAACCTCGCTCCCAGGGCGAGAAGCTCAAGTACCTCAGAGCCGGTAACCTTATCGAGAGACTTTGCTTCATCTGCTTCGCACTTTGCAGCGAGGAAGCGGAGAAGCACAAAGCCATGTCCTTGGGACGCATCAGCCGGTACTACTTGGTGTACTTCGGTGAGCTGGACTAGGTCGTCAGGCGTAATCTAGGCAAAGACGTCTTCAGCTGGGGCTTAGGCTTGAGGACTTCCTCTAGCTAGGAGAGGTGCTTAGAAGGGCGCTCCTTGGCTGCGAGGGCAGTTTCTGTGAGGGCTTCCTAGGCGTCTGGGTTGGCTTAGGAGGGGGTACGAATTCGTGCACTTGATCGACATGATTGAGCAGATCACAGATGGAACGGTGCTTGTAAGGACTAGCAAGATAATGCGGTGAAACTTGGCTCCAGGCAAAGAAGACTCGAGCAAGGACTTCGGAGTGATTCTCAAACACGACTTCAGTTTACTTGAGAAGGATGTTGGGTTGCTGTCGATAGAAGTCTTGTGCAAGCATAACAACACCGGATGTTTACCCACGGGCGAGGACAGAGCTGATTTCACGGTTCCGACGACTTGTCGATCTTTCAGCTCGCTTTCGTCTTTGTGAACGGAGCTCTATTCGATGACCACTGGTAGCTCTCGGTCCCAGGTTCCTCTGCCTCTGCATGTGGTTTTCCTAGATAAACTGGCAGAGTCCTGTTATCCGCGCAGATGCTTCTGATGATCCAAAATGGATAGGGGTAACAGAAACGTCAACGAAGACGACAAAAGGGATGGCAAGTAACATTGCATTTCAACGAGTTCAATGCGGTTATCCATGTGTTCGTTCGATGAGATCGGCCATACGTCCGCCGGATCGAGCAACATCGTTTTGCGCGGCATGTGTCAACATCGTGACCATCAAACTATTGATGGCCTCATTCGCAGCCGAAACCAGACTGAAAAGATCAATCCCATGGGTTGTGCGTTGTTCAAAATGGTGAAGTCATGGTTGGGAAACCGTCTCTGCGTAATCACGATTTGGCATGCTTGATGGTGAGACTAACGCCGACTAGCGCAGCCACGAAGCATGGGTATTTGCGGCCGATGCATTTCTGAAGATGTCGAATGCAAATATTGAGACCTGCTTGATTCCGTCATCAGCATCGCTTTTGAGGAATGGACATGATCTGACTCGCCCTATTCCTAGGTAAAATGCATCCATTGTGCACCTCTCAAACACAGCCGCCACTACCATTCGTGGAACGGTGGCGGCGGTTCTAGGGCAAGCGGCGTCGAGACCAGGGAAGGTGCCAAAAGACTTCCAGACCTCGTGGTAAAAGGTCGCTCAGCCAATGGCGAGGCGCAACGAGGGAAACGGAGCTTTTCAAGGTAGGATTCGGGGCGACGGTGCAGACGAGTGGTCGGGAGATGGACACGAAGATCTGCGGTGAGGAGTTGGATGGAGCCAAGATCCAAGAGACCGTCTTTGGCAGCGGCGATGGATAGGCTATCCCGGCTTGGTATTGCTGGACAGAGAAAACGGTCAGATTGGGCGGTGGACGTTTGTTGGCAAGCTTCCGGGTGGTTGGGAATGGGCCTTGGGTGGAACGACAATGCTGGTTTCCCGCCGTGGTGGGGTGAGGGGTGCGAGGGGTTTTGTGTCTTGGATTGGAACGGCGGACAAGAGTCAAGCCCGACGTTGCCGGACTTGCAGAAGGATTGGGGGCCCCGAGTGCGTTTAGTTGGCACTCGAGCAACACCAGAGCCGCGGTGAGCTTGGAGTAGCGCGCGTAACACTAACTGTGAGACAAGAGCATCCGTTGATGGACCTTGGACTGGCCGCTGCTTTCTCGACGGGTGTCTTTTTTTGATGCCGCAAACTGCGCTATGGCAATGGTGTTCCAGCTTGGCGACAAGTGGACCGCAGTCGTCAGGTGGCTGGTTTCAGTCCGGTCAACGGTCTTTGAATTTGTGCATGCGAATCGAGACATGACAGAGGTCCGATGGCGAATTCGTCTGCTGTACCCGCAGTAGAGGGTGCGATGAGGTTATCTCGAAGCTGAAAGCGCCAATCAGCACCGCCAGCGAAGGGGAATAGCCAGGGCTGGGCTCCAGACTGGCCCATCCCATCCCATGATTCTGGCAGGAGGCAGCTGCGTTAGCGGAAGGAAAGATAAGATAACGTTGAAAGGTTGAAAGATGGACGAAAGATGCACCTGTGCGGCCACGATGGCGCATGGGCCAGCGACAACTCAGAGAATGGATACGTGCCTCTTCGATAGGTACGTATCCGTAGGTACCTTGAAGGAAGCGCCAGCAGCAAGCTTAAAAGCGGGCAGAGATGGTGGTGGCAATAGCAATCACCACACCCTCGTCGCATTGCGGTCCGACCGATCCGCTGGGGGTTTTGTACAGGGCAACGCAGCAAACGCTGAGTGCCTGGAATCGACCGACCGACGGGCACCGCACAGGGTGCCATCGCCGGGCGATGGCTCGTCGGGTACCTAGGTGTGAGGTATGTGTCCGCGTATCTGCAGCAGAGCGGTGCAAATCAGGTCCAGACTCAGGCGGCTTACCTTCTTACATAGGTATAAATACATAGGCAGTGTTGAGGTGGTTGCTTGAGTACGAGTACCTAAGTAAGGTAGGCACTAGCTAGTTATGCAGCCAAAGCAGGAATTCTGTCAATCCAATAAACGCCATCGGTTCGTATCTCTTTGACAAGCTAGATTGCCAGGTAAGAATTAGTCTGTTTACACGTGCGAAGATGGCGCCAACCTTCTTTTTATTCCTTCCTCAATTCTTTTCTTTGCGCTTCCTTCCCGAGCTCTGCGCGCCGCTGCAGCTGCCACCTGCCTGTCAGGTACGGATGCCTTACTGCCTACCGCAGTACACTACACCACTCGGTTGCTTGCTCACTCCGTGCTCCCGATGCCCATCACTTCCAGGTCCATTTGATTTGCACTTACGCAGTAATAAGATTCCTTGCCTGGCTGCTCGATAGGCCGAAATATGTGCACAAAAACACCGCTAAACGCCTACCGTATTGTCCCCTTTGGGAGGGCTATCCCTGCTCACATCCCGGTTTCGACCAGTTTCGGGCAAGTGATGGTGCAGAGGGAAAACGGCCAAACCCACCCATGTCAGTCCATATCCACAGTCGTCCGCAGTGCTGTCCACAGGCCCATGACATGGCAATGGGCATTCCAACCAGGAAGCCCGCCCAGTGTTGCCGCCGTAGAATCATCTTAAGAATACGAGCTTTCCAGCCAACCCGTGCCTGCCAACACCTTGACTCCCACCATGCATGTCCTTCCTGCCAGGCCTGCCTCATCCTTCCCTCTTCCCCAGACTGCCTGACCAGACCGGGAGAGGTGAATGAACCCTGACCTGCTGAAGGCCGCTACGACTACGATTGACCACTGCAGACTGCAGGTGCGAACCGCCTTGCGGATATCTGGGCAGTGGGCGCTCATCCTTGCCATCGGGTCTGCCGCCGGTTTGGGGGAATTCTTGAACATCGCAGGCCCCCCCTGCAACTTCTTTCAATATCTTGTACCTGCCTCCCGCCAAAGCAACACACCCTTTGCTTGCCAGCATCTGTCGCCACGTCTCGCCGCTGCGACCGCGTCTGCAAACAAACACTCCGACTCAAACATCACCAGTCCTCTCCAAACGTCGTGAAGCGATCCAATTCCGACTGAGAACCGCTTCGCCGGCTCACCACAACATTGCGCATTCGTCATCACCGTACAAACGAAATAAGTACCGAGAATCCCGGTCAACACCATCTAAAACAGCTCCATTTCGTCTCGGAGACACCCCTAGAGCTCTCCACCACCCGCTTTCCGTCTCCTCGGGAGCGTACACGATCTTCCGCGACCTCCGAACAACCTCGAGTCTCAACCTGCAACACAGCTTCTCGCAGCTTGAAACATCTCTATGTCTTTGACCTGGCTCACCATCAGCTCGGTTCGATACACCCTAGACATCGCTTCTGCAGCTACCAGATAACACCCGTCCATCGTCACACCCGATCTTCTTTCTCGGGCATTTTCGCCCTGCGAGCCCACCGAACCGTTCTGTCGTCACTTGCCTCGATTGCTCAGGATGGCCAGATTGGGGGCTTCACTATCGGCTGCTGCGAGTTGGCTCGCCGTATTCGCCTCGTTCACGACAGCTTTTGCTGCGACGGAGACCATTTACATCACCGGGCAGGATAAGGATGGCAACACCGCAGAGCTCGCCACCAACCGACGTCCCGCCTTGTTCACTGGCGACTTTGGCGACTGCCTTGGAGGACAGAGTCTTTTCAACGTCACCAAATTCGACGCCGCCTACTATGCCGACAACATGACGGTCCAGTTCCATCTCGATGGAACAACCAGCATCCGAAACGAGTCGTTGATGAGTATGCTTGAATGACCCCCAGCTTTTTCCAGACTACTGACGTTGAAATAGTGCACATCAATGTCGAAGCTTGTAAGCCGACTTGAGACGAACTCGCATGCAAGAAATGAGGATGTGCTGACTTGGCGCAGATGGCGAGACAAGATTCGAGATGAACTTTAACCCGTGCATGACCAACATCGCGAGGTGCGTCAACGTCCCTGCATCCTCCTCGCAATGACTCGCTGACATTGTGTAGTCTGTGCCCTTTGAATGCGAGCGTTCCGATTACTGCCTTCGCCGAGTTTAGGCTCACGCCAGCTCAGATCGATGGCATTCCCTCCATCGCCCTCGACATCCCCGACTTTGAAGGTTCAGCCCGTATCCAGATCTTTGCAAACTCGAGCGAGACTCAAATCGGTTGCTTCCAGGCCGTTATGCGGAATGGTAACAGCTTCTCTCATCCTGCAGCCATTTCCTCGATCCTCGGCGTCTTCACTCTGGCCGCAATCCTTGCTTCAGTTGCAACTGCAATCTACGGCGTCAGCATTACTCACATCAGAACGCATTACGCCCACTCTCTATCAGTACTTGTCATCTTTGAGACTTTCCAGACCGTCTTTTTCTCCGGCGCCCTATCTGTCGACTGGCCCAGCGTTCTGCCTGCCTGGTGGAGCAACTTTGGATGGGCTGCGGGCATGATATACAGCAAGCAAATGGTTGACTCGATTGACGGATTTGCCGGAGTGACTGGTAATGCTAGTCAAGTCGGTGGTGCAGGATCGACGGTCATCAACACCGGCGGCGGTATAGTCCAACAGATCTACGGGCGCTCATTTGATAGTCTCTCGGACACCCCCATCGAAGTTGCCCCTCTTCCGCAAATCGCCAAGCTCGCTGTCAGAGAGCTCAACACAAGCAATCCCTATGAATACTACTGGTCCGGCTCTCCGGTAGCCCCTGGAATGCCTACACCTGGTAAATGGATTGGATTTGCTGGAGATCTGTCAGCTCTTGGCATCCCGGCCGCGGATGCCTTCACCATCGGTCTCGTCTGGTGGTTGGTAGCAATCGGCCTTGTTGCTGTGTCCATTACCGTTCTCAAGTTCTCTCTTGATGGAATGGCACGGTTCAAGCTGATGAACGAGGACCGCTTCTTGTACTTCAGGAATCATCTAGGAGGGTACCTGGCGGCTGGTGTTCTGCGAACGCTCCTCGTTGCGTTCTTCTCTCTGATGACTTTGGCCCTGTTCCAATTCAACATACGCGCACCCGCCGGCCCTACCGCTATTGCGGCCATCTTCTTTCTCATACTACTGGTGGGCGTTGGTGGCATAGCCGCTTATGCCTGTTTCTTCCGTCTACGCCTCGGAAAGTACGAAATGGGTCCTGACACGATCGTCTTTGAGCAAGGCAAGCTACTTAGCTCGGTTCCGGCTGTCGCAGCAACCCGCGCAAGCAACCTCGGGGAGAAGGAAACAACGGCGAAACGATACGGGTCGATGCCCTTCTTCAAGATTCGCTACGTTGATGACGACCCCAACCGAACGACAGTCCACAAGGACGAGGCGTACATCAAGCGATTCGGCTGGCTTGCTGCTCGATACCGCCGGACGAGATGGTGGTTTTTCGCGTGTTGGCTCGGCTACCAGTTCATTCGGGCATGCTTCGTCGGCGGTGGAGCCCGAAACCCGCTTGCGCAAGTCTTTGGACTTTTCATCTGGGAGATCATCGCTTTCCTGGTGTTTATCAAACTGAACCCGTTTGAGGGCCAGCGAAACAACTCCCTGGCGATTTGGATGCTCGGCATTGCAAAGGTGGCGACTGCCGGTTTCTCCATCGCCTTCTTACCCGCCTTTGCTATTGGTCGCATCCTATCGACAGTGTTTGGCATCATCATCATCGTGGTTCAGGGCTTCCTCGTCGTCGCGGTGTTGGTTTTGATCGTCCTCGGTTGCATCTCGTCATGGATGTCGCTCAACCGGAACCGCGAGCAGTTCCCCGAGAAGCTGGACGGACTTCGCATTAGATACTACGAGCACATGGCAGCAAAGGCGGACGATCTCCCTCCGCCCCCGAAACCCGACCCCAGCCAACTTCCCCCTCGGGAGCCCCCACAGCCGTACTTCAACGTAACCAGTGTTCGTCGAGCTCGCAAGATTGAAGATGAGCACGAAGCGGGTGAGATGGAGGACGTCATTCGGCCTGTGAATGCATCGGTTGTTCAGTTTGCACCGGGCACGAAGACCAGAAACCGAGCGAATAGTGCCAGTTCGCGCTACTCGGTTAACTCCTTGCCGCGCCGTGCCAGAGCAAACTCTCACCGCGCGTCATGGAGTTCAGCCGATTTCGCCGAGTGGGATAAGCAGGTGACCCGTGAGCGGTCTGGCTCACTTACCCACCGCAACGGCCATCAACGAAATGGTTCCTTCCGACAGGTGTCTCACTCGGAATCCCAGCCAGATCTTGGTCGTGGATCCAACAACAACACGCCACTTCCGGAGCGGTCAGCGTCAACGAATGAGCTTCGCCGGATCATGACGCCCACCGAAGAGGTTCCGGAGGAGCACATTATGACTCCTGGCGCCATGGTTGCGGACGAAAAGCGCGACAGCAAGTCGGATGAGTCCACGATCTCACCAATCCATGAGGGAGACGAGGACAAGTATTTTAAGACGAAGGGGGATGTTTCGCCCATCCAAGAGAAGGACCAGAAGGCTTGAACTGATTTCTACACACCAATTGTTTTAAACGGCACCACGACGCCGTGTACCAAGCCTGCGACTTCATCGTTTTGACACGCCTTGATGGCGTTTTTTCTTCGCACTATTGCATAGCATTGCATAGACGGCCGCCACCCCGGCCTGAACGAATTTGCATGAGAAACGGATTATGAGGCGTTGGGCGGAAAAAAAGAATTCATTTAGAAGGAGGGATAGTTTGTAATGGCACCACAGTGTTGGGGAGGAGCGGCTGGTTGCTTGCGACCAGATTGCATCAGGCACATATTTGGCGGCCTTGGACCAGGCAGCCCGTGGATACATCTGCAGATATAAGTGGTCATTGGCATCCCAAGATAGAGCCTAGATGCTTAGAATTAGAAATTCAGTATTGAAGTAATTCATTCACCTTCCAAGTCTGCAGTGATCATCACATATTTTGGGAAATTGCTCATCGAAAACCGCTTGCACCATTTTCATCTACCGTAAAATATGTCCAAGATTCCCTATACATCTTTTTTGACTTTCCAGAAAATGCACCCCATCCCATGCCCGACACCTGATGTGAATATGTGTATATCTTTGAAAATCATTCAAGAACGCTTTAAGCAAAGCCCTTGAGAACGGCAGCCTCGGCGTTGAGGATGGAAGAGCCAGCGGCGCCAATGACGGTGTTGTGGCTGAGGGCGACGAACTTGATGTCGAAGATGCCGCTCTCGTCCTCCCTGACGCGGCCGACGCTGACGGTGTACCCGCGGCCGAGCTCGCGGTCCAGACGCGGCTGGGGGCGGTCGGGCTCGTCGAAGACGATGATGGGGCTCTCGGGCGCGGAGGGGCAGCCGAGCTTCTGCGCGTCGGAGACGTACTCGCGCAGGGCCTTCTTGACGTCCTCGGCGCTCGGGGCGGGGCGGCGGGCGAAGCGCAGGGAGACGCAGGCGGTGTGGCCGTCGAGGACGGGGACGCGGTTGCAGGCGGCGCTGACCTTGAGGTCCTTCTGGTCCTCGAAGGCGGTGAGGTCGCTCGTGATGTTGCCGAGGATCTTCTGGGCCTCGGTCTCGAGCTTGTCCTCCTCGCCCGAGATGAAGGGGACGACGTTGTCGATCATGTCCATGGAGGAGACGCCCGGGTAGCCGGCGCCGGAGACGGCCTGCATGGTGACGACAGAGACGGCGTCGACGGGGCCGAAGACGGATTGCAGGGCGGCGAAGGGGATGACGAGGCCGATGACGGCGCAGTTTGAGTTGCAGACCAGGAAGCCCTTTTGGAGCTTGTGCTGGGCGCGCTGGTGGGGGATGAGGTCGAGGTGGGGGAGGTTCACGGTGGGGACGACGAGGGGGACGAGGGGGTCGCGGCGGTAATTCTTTGCGTTGGAGAAGACGGCGAGGTTGGCCTTGAGGAATTCCATCTCTGTTGTAGGGGCTGTGTTAGCTATGATGATGTACAGAGAGGTGCGTCAAGGTAACGAACCAATCTCGCCGGCGACGTCGGAGTCCAGGCCGGAGAAGACAATGTCGCAGTCCGCAAACTCGGAGGCCTTGCACTCGCGCACGACGAGGTCGCCAAAGGGGCCCATGGGCGAGGCCTGCTTCCAGCGGACGGCATCGCGGTATTTCTTGCCGGCGGAGCGGGAGGAGGCGCCGACTGCGACGAGCTTGAGGTAGGGGTGCTGCGACAGGAGGAGGATGAAGCGCTGGCCGACGGAGCCGGTGCAGCCGAGGACGCCTGTGTTATCGGATCATGTCAGTATTTGTGTGTATTCTCGAGTGTGGGGTTCATCATCGTGGTCTCGTGTGCGTGGTGTTGAGGTTCCGTTGACGGAGGAGCGCAGGGGCGGCAGCGGTTCATGGCGGGGGAGGGGCAATTTGGGGGGGATTGCGTTCGCACGTACCGCACTTCTTGACGGGGAATTCGCCCATGGTGTCTGAGGGTTTCGGGGGGTATCGAGGGTATCAATTGAGGTGAGAAAAACAAAGACAGACCAGTCCGAGAAGCGGGAGGGCTTGATATATGGGCGACGGTGATGTGAGTCAAGAGGGAAGTGGCATGTCGTGCCGCGCCCTGGCCCGATTATTTTTTGGGGACGAGGGAGCGACGTCGGTAGCACCCCGCCATGCCCCGCCATCGGAGCTTGCGTCTCTGTGCAGTGCAGGGGACGGAGCACCTGTAGCGCGGTAAATCGGTCGTCTCTGATTGGGAACTGACTTTTTTTTTTGTCCCTCATTCTTTTCATACTTGCGACTGCCATCTCCCGCCCTTCCCCAGCCGGTCTTGCGCCAGCAGATGGCAAGGGTCCAGAAACCGGTCGGGATCTGGTGTCTGTCGATATTGCCGGCCGGCGATTGGAACCACGAAGTAGTTGCAAGTGATCTGTCACGAGTGTGGCATACCCAGGGAGTAGCAGTTCCCGGCTCGGTGTATTGTCATCCCATCACGAACTTTCATCGCATTGTGCCTCTGCTTCAACAGGATGCCTGCCCGGGTGTATCTCAACCCCGCATGCTGTCACAGTTTCAAGCTGAGATGACGGCCAAGTGTAAATGGTATCATGGGCTGCACTGTTCACAGCGACGATGATAGAACTTCGGTATGTCATTGAACACAATTGCTGACTACAGACTGACGACACCCACGGACTTCAGACCTGAGACGGTGTCGTTGTCTTCTCGGTCTTCCCTTGAACATCAGATTTCTCGCTGCTCTGCAGCTTTTTCGCCACATCGTAGCTGAGGAACTTTTCCATGTTCGGTACCAGAAACGAGCTTAGCAGAAGGATGACCGAGAACGGGATTGTTGTGTAGAACACGATCCTGAATGAGCTCGTGTAGGCCGTCTTGAGCGCGCTCCCCACTGCCGAAATGATGTCCGCATTGATGCCCGGAACAGTCGAAAAGTCACCCGCTGTGATGGCTGCGAAGAGAGCTTCGATTGACGACGACGGAAGACCTGCCTCCGTTGCTGCCGGAACCACATACTTTGGCAGGTTCTTATTCAGCTCATTTGTTAGAACAGACGTGTACAACGCCTGCGCAACTGCACCACCAAGACCACGAATGGATCCCATGACGCCTGTTGCGAGCCCGATATCTTGAGCTTCCCAGACCAGTGTGATTCCAGGGAACGAAATGTTGTCGACGAAGCCGATCCAGGTACACACCAGGGTCCCCAGAGCGATCGTCGCAGCCCATCGATCGGGCGAGATCGTGGTTAACGCAGTCATGAAAGCAAATGATAAGGCTGACGCAACAACGCACTGCCACTTTACCTTGGGCACGTAAGAGATGGTAAATCCTGCGATAGTCTGGCCGAGAAGAATGCCGCCGCCGACCACCGAGCTCTGCCACCCAATCTTCATCGAGTCTGTGGTGTAAATGCTGCCGATGATGGTAGGCCAAAGAACGGTGAGGGAGTAGTAGACCATCGCCCCGACCGTCGCGATGGCGATGATAGCGACGAAGCCGATGTTCTTGAACATCCTTGGAGGCATCAAAGGCTGGACTTTACAGAAGAAACCCTCTGCCGCAAGTCAGTTGAAGCACCACGTTGAGAACAAATTTGACACTTACCATAAATGGCAAAAGCAGCAAGAGTGGCGATGCCAATAAGAAGAGTGCAGAGTACTTCCGCGCTCGCCCATGGATACGCGGACCCTCCCCATGAGAGACCTATGAGGAACAACACGCACCCGGAAACATAGAGAAAGATGCCAACGAAGTCCAAATCCTTGGTCATCTGGAGTCTGGTCTTCCCGTGAACATGGAGCTGATCGTATGATGGCGGGTGGTAAAAGAACCAGTATAGAACCAAAGATAGTACGCCAAGGATGTCCCCCATGTAGTAGCTCCATCGCCACTTTGAGACGGTGTTGTCGAAGAGGGACCGAGCAATGACGGGGCCAAAGACAGCAAATGGTAGCGAGGAAAGGAAAACGATAGTGACGATAGGCCCTCTCCACTTGTTCGGCACAAGCTCTCCCATGACGATGCCAAACGACAACTGCCCGGCCGCCGCGATGCCGTTGCAAACATTGGCGGCAATAAGGGTCTCAACCGTCTGAGCACATGAGCCGATAACGCAGCCGACGAGTCCGAGGATCGAAGTCCCCAGTACCATCCACTTGCGTCCGTACAGATCAGAGAGTCGACCGACGAGAAGGAAACCAATCGAACTGCCCATGGTCCACATGGTGGCAACCCAGTTGATGTTTTTGGAGGGACCGAGGTCTGCGTTGATGAGTGTGCTTCAATCAGGTCAGTATCTCTTCAAGTGAACGTTGTTGATGAATAGACTTACAGTGTGTTCGCAGGTAGTACCCATCCCAGGTATGCGCAGATACTTGCGAGGCATTGAGCCTAAGACCCTATCAGTTTCAATCCAAAGACATCGATCCCGTCAATCTAGCATACGGTCAACGTTCCGAGGAACTGTGGGCTGCGAAAGTAACCGGCAGGCATGGCATCGTAGTTGCCACCGACGGCCTTCGTATCAATGTAGTCGACGGTTCCATCGGCATGGACCACTTTGGTGACGTTGCCATCGTGGGTCTGTACTTTGCTGAAATCATTCTCGGTCTCGAGATGGCGCGTAGTAGGTTCCTTGGCCTCCGTGCCGGACTGCCCGTCAGAAGAAGACATGGCTGTTGGAACTGGATACCGAATATCGGCGGAGATCTTTGGACGTGTAGAGTCTTCAGATCCAGCGAAGAAAAGATCCAGGCTGCTGGCTGCGGGTCTCGCTACCTTGGAGTTGGGACGTTGACCAATATTAAGTAGCACGGCTACCCTCCCCTCAGCAGACGGACGCCTTCATCCAAACGTATGGATCGTCGGAATGTGCTACCCCAGTTCAAGGGAAAGGATGGTTATTCTTTCCCCACGCAACCCCGGAATCCAGGGATCTGGGGAAGTCGTGGCCGGCAGAAAGGGTGATTCAGGGGGGGGTTCCTCCCCAAGGCAGGTGAGAGGCTGGAGACATGGATAATGAAGAGTTCAGGGCGATTGGGCTCTTGTGCATTCACGAGTGAAACTAGCAGCATTGAGGTGGTACAGAAGATAGATAGGCTTGGGACGTCGCATTCCTCGGGCGCTCCAGGGCGAGACATCGGCTAGACCAGTGGCTGAGAGAGCGTCTTTCAGCCCAGACGTGTCTCGCTTGGATCCGCGGACTCGAGATGGACCTCCATCGATGCGACTTAGTGCGGGCCACAAACGTGCAGTGGCTTGAAGTAGACAAGGCGATGCCGCAGCCAGGATGACATCCAGTCAGCTCACCAAGCCTTTGCGTCGTAGGGCAGGTGTTAGTTAGCAGTGAGCACCAGTCCTCATGTCATAGGGGCATTCGGACTCGAAGGGTTGGGTAAGGTAGCCTGGCTACCACCCTGCGTGTGGCATTCAGAAAAGAAAAGACACTGAATCATCGAGGCGCGTGGTGTGGCATACATGGTGCGGTCGCATCGTTCCGCATGTTTGGGCTCGGATGAACATGAGCGAGGTCGAAGACCGGGAGGAGGAAAACCAATTCCGGAGGGGGGAGAAACATCCCAGGGCTGAGGAATCCGGGGACCGGTACTTGCCCCCTAGCTCCGCGGTGACAAGGGTTTTTGGAGATGCGGAGAAGGTCCCGAACACACGGTTCTCCAACGTTCACGTCAAAGACTGGGATCGATAATAGTTGGTCTTTTCGGGCTAGAAAAGTGGCTCAGAAGCAAGGGGCGTAAACCTTGGAATCGAAAGACGGTTGTGCTTGGGAATGCCTACCCGCCAAGAGATGGAGCTGCGGAGCCAATCGTTGGGTGGCTGACCTCCGTATTGGGAATCGCCTGCCGAATGCAAGCCCAGCTGCAGGACGCTGAATTGGATGAACTTGATTAGATGAAGGCTTTTGAGCAGATTCCCAGATTCCTCGACAAGCCCGACGACGGGTCAGATCTCTACCACCAGGTTGGGCCGCAGTGGGAGACAACGTCAAGTACAAAAGCTCGATGGGTCACCAAAGTTAAGCCACAAAACTTTCCTCCCCACGGTGGGAAATCAATTCCGGAGTGGTCTATGTCTCAGTCGTTCAACTCAAGCCCGTTCACATGTTCGATAATCCCGCCCCAAGGCACTGATTATCAATCATCTGCTCAAGTTGAACGAGAACCGACGGCCACCAGGCAATCATCATGTCATCTCTCGCGTCTCAACCCTCAAACTCCCAGGTGGCTCTTGGAAGAGGACATGACGCGGCCACTGGTTGAGAGGAAACATGAAGGCTCCAAATATGGGGATTGTTATCTCTGCGCAGTGCAACATATATCTCATGGTTGTCATTGTCGTCAAGTTCGCCGTCTCTATCGCCATTCTTCTACCTCGTGTCCTTTTGACACTGTTTTCTCCCTCGTTACATGGGATCTTTTGCTTTCTTATCCCACAAGGAAATGAAACATATGTCAGGTCAGCAGACAGCGATGATGCGCTTGAACAACAAGTTTGATATCACGGACGAAGGCTATGGGGGCGAGTCTGAAGTATTGCGGAGTTACGGATTCATAGTATGATGTGCAAAGCCTTGCGTCAAGTAAAAATCGCAGGTTTTCGACGAAGTCAGGTCAAAGCTGAAGTATCTAGTCACCGATACCCGGCTTGGGCAGGCTCGAAGATGTCTCCTCGGGGATCTACTCAACATCGTTAGACTTGAACGCTGGTGTTGAAAGTAATTCCACCTATAACTCCGATATTTTGAACCCGTGCTTTCAAACCTGACGCTATCTATGATTCCCAATTTCCTTCATATCCGACTAACACGGTGGGTCTTCTTGTCAACATCGCATCGTCTTATCTTTGTTTGGTCGATTCTGCGTCAACACAAGTGACCACACCTCTACCCACGCCCAACAGCATTCGTTTCTTCGTCATTGTGTGATCAAGGCAACTTGTTTCCGACAGCATAGTTCTTCTGCAGTGACCACAAACAGCGACAATTTTGCCAGCTACAGTCTCTAATCCTATTCAATGATTTGCACCACAATTATGCAGCGAGTGAGGGTCCAGATGGAAGGTTTTACTAGCATCCTCTCCGCCTTCTTGAGCTGCTCTGATAGCCACCCAAGTTATGAACAAGTAGACTCAGGAGCTCCATAGCCTTCCTAGCCTGCCTCAACAGAAGGTAGATCACAACTTATTTAATTCCAGTTTGTGAATAAGAAGATTAGCCAGCAAAGCAGTGAATGCTTTGGGCCAGCCCCCGAGGGTCTGCATACACAAAGGCTGGATGATGAAGTATCGCACTCCGAGATGAAGATCAAAGTGCCATTCTACTCTTTTGCCTTGATATCAACAAAGGCACCAAGTCTGTTCACCCCACTTTGTGAACTTCTGCACCCACATGCCCGGAGGCACCGGAGGTCCTTTGACTACTACCGGTTCGGGGGCCCACAAACTCGGAGGTGTGCTCCGGCCAGCACCAACATCAGTGCAAAACACCATAGGGGCTGTTCAGCGCGTGTGACCCTTAAGTCACCTCTAAAAGAGCCAATCACCACCACCTCTGCCACCATCGTGATCAACACAGACCCAATATCTTCTGCCTCGAAAGGCGAGTGCCACTACTCTTGATCTCACAGAGGGCGAGAGCTGGCGGGTCCCCTCTCCCTGGAGGCTGCTCTTGCCATTCTTGTAATTATCATGAACGCCGAGGGCTCTCTTAACCACGATTGAAGCCCTATGCAGCCCACGTTTTGAGATATTGGAATATCCCCTCTGTCCACCAGCACCCAGCTGGTTTCTGAAACCCTACCCACCCCCAGACTTGGTCTCTCTACCTCCCCAAAGCAAACCATCTCCTACCTTGCCTGTACAACTCCCCATCTCTCTCCCACACACACTTACCCATCTCCATCTACCCTCTTCCACCTTACCCATCTTACTCCATCCATCTCTCCATCTCCATCTACCCAAATCCTTCCCTTTTTCGCACATCCCCAGCTTCACGAGCTTCGTTTGACTACTTCGCTGCATCTTTTTTTGCGTCGCGGAAAAATCAAGATCGTCCATCATGTCTGGTTCTACCGATAACAGAAAGCTCCTCGAGCAGCTCCAGAAGCTCTCTTTCCAGCACGAGCTTGAGCAGGCCTCGATGGCTGGTTCTGCGGCCTCCCAGATGGCTGAGCCTGTCTACGGCCTCCAGAACCTGTCTGTCTCGGCTAGCAAGTCGCCTGACTTCTCTTCGGCCTCGTCCGAGGATCGCGACCCTGAGCGCGGTGGTGGTAAGCTTCCCTCTTTTTTTCCCCCCCTCTCTGTTTTGATAGCTTCGATGACGCGATCTCCCATCTTACGCGATTTCGCTTCCTTCGCGATGAAAAATACTGACATCTCGATCACAGGTGTCCGCCTGGACGTGTCTTCCCTTCGCGGAAGCCCCAACAGCTTGGCTCGCCGCTCCGAGGCCGTTGGCAAGGCTCTGCGCCCTACCATGTCAGCTACTGCTACCTTGTCTGTGTAAGTCAATCTTCTTACCATTCGCTTCTACCTCAGCTAACTCGTCTCTAGTCACGCCCAGAAGGGCCCTGCTCAGGACGACGGTGATGTCTTCAATGACAGCTCCGCCGACGACAAGCCCCTTGGCATGTCTTCCTCTGCCTACAAGCTCAACCAGAGCCACATTCAGCAGGCCGGCTTCAAGAGCAAGGACGTTGTTCGCCGCAACTACGACGAGGACTCTCCCACGAAGCCCCGCTCTGCCAGCAACAAGCTCGTTGACCCTCAGGCTACTTGGCCTGCAACTGCTTGCATCTTCGTTGCCAAGTAAGTTTTCTCACAACAAGCTCTGGTCGGTCCTCTTCTAACCTCTACAGCCTCCCTGAGCATCGTGAGGACTACACTCTCGAGGGTGCGGTCACCAAGGAGTTCCAGCGCTTCGGCGTCGTCTTTGTCAAGATTCGTCGCGACACCAACGGAATGCCATTCGCTTTCGTTCAGTTCACCGTAATTACCGTCGCTTCTATTACCACCTCATCATACTGACTCCAATCATAGAATGACGAGAACGCCAACGAGGCCCGCATCGAGGGCAAGGGTGCTATGATCCTTGGCCGTCCTTGCCGCACCGAGACTGTGCGCGCCAACCGTACGCTGCCATTTCCTGCCTCATCTTCTTCTCATACTAACTCTTCACACAGGCACTTACATCATCTACCGTCGCAACCGCACTGCGATCACCGTCGAGGAGGCCAACGAGCTTCTTACTCCCTTCGGCGACCTCGAGACCGCTCGCTTCCTTGATGACGAGATCCAGCAGCAGATGCGTCTGCCCGTCACGATCCGCGTCCAGTTCAAGGAGTTCGACTCTACCCAGCAGGTTCTCAAGGCTTTCCGCCTGAACAGAGTCTACCATGTCGAGGCCTACGACTTCAAGAAGGCTATGCAGGCCAGGTCTCGCAACCCTGAGCGCGTGTACCTCGACACCTACGACCGCGACCGTCGTTCCATTTTCATCGGCGACTTGCCTCTCAACTTCACCGAGAGCGACATTCGCATTCTCATGGAGGACGTTGGCAGCGTCGTATCCGTTCAGGTCAAGCGCCTTGATTACCACCGTGGTAAGCTGTCATTTCTCCCTTTCCTTTCCACACCCAAGAGTCAAGCTAACACATGAACAGAGGGACCCAAGCTCATCGCTTTCGTCGAGTTCACCAACCCGACCGTCCCTGAGATGGCCATCGAGCGCTATGTAAGTATTCGCCTTTTCCCTTGACAACTTACCAAGATGGATGACTGACACCTCGAAGCATAACAACAATATCCAGGGCTACTACATCCGCGTCGAGCGTCGCACCAACCAGAACCGTCGTGGTGTCTCCAACACCCCTGGCCGATTCCATGGCAACGGCTTCAACGGCGCTGGCCCTTCCAACATGGGCGGCAGAGCCCCTTCTACTCCCGCTCGCGAGCAGCGTGGTCCTCTGGCTATCGAGGCCGGTACCAGCTTCAGCCAGGATGCTGTCCAGAACACTCCCGTTCGCCAGACTCCTCTCCGCAACGAGATGAACTCTGGCATGGCTCAGACCCAGAACGTCATGCAGCCCACCGTTGTTCAGACCCCTCAGCACCAGAACGGCATGCAAGTCCAGCACGTTCAGCAGATTCCTGCCCAGACCCAGCAGCAGCAGGATGGCCCCGTCATGAACCAGGTTCCTAACCAGGTTCAGAACTATGTTGCCCAGCAGGTTCCTGCTCAGGTCCAGGTTCCTGCTCAGGGACAGATGCAGTTCAACATGGCTCCCCCCATGGGTCCTCACCCTCAGCAGCAGCACATGGCCACTCCCATCGGTCACCACCCTAACCAGCAGCACATGGCCACTCCCATGGGCCATCATCCTCACCAGCAGATGGGCCCTCCCCCCGTTCCTCAGATGAACACCCCCATGGTGCCCCAGTCTGGCTCCTACATGGGCACTCCCTTCTCTCAGGGTCCCTTCTCCCAGGGTCCCTTCTCTCAGGGTCCTGGCTCTGCCTACGGCTTCATGACTCCTCAGCCTTCCCCTGGTGCTCCCTTCTGGGGCTACGGTCACGGAACTCCTCTCTGGACCCCGTTCCCTGTCGACCCTGCCGCCTTCATGGCTTTCACCAGCCCTGTTCCCCCGGCTCGCTCCAACGGCGTCGCTCCCACTGGTCCCCAGCTTGAGGCCAACCAGGTCACCCAGTCTGAGCCTGTCATGACTGACAACAGCATCACCCAGGCTTAGGCCACTTTCTCTTGTTCGATTTTCAATCATTCCGGTTCCAGTTGTCGGTTTCCCCAAAACTTTCGGTTTTCCACGATCCGAATCAATCATTCGACTACTTACACATCGGCTTATTATTCGAAAATCCAACATTTCGGTTCCAAATCGACTGGTACCCAATCGTATTGCTCGACAAATCTCATCTTTCTTTCCTTCTTTCGTGGTTTACAAACCATAAACAAACAAAATTGGTGTTGGGATTTGGTGTGTGGTCAGATGGGATTTTTTCTTGTGACACAGGGTAATGGTTGATGGATTCAAGGTTCGGTAATAGAGAAATGGAAACAAAATGGAGTCATAGAAGGTTTGGTTTGTGCCAAAGAGCACTTTGTCTACTCTCGATGTCAGGCCGACTTTCATCTAGTTAGCAATACAGTCTTGAGTAAAAGCTTCCGTGCGATTGATCTCGTGACCAGGACGTTTGCGGGTGTCGTAGCCTGTTTGCGAGCGCAAAGTTCGGTCCACGGATAATAATATGCTGCAAGATTGCTATCATCTTCGTCTCTGAAGCTATCGGGATGGTTCAAGAGCCAGCACGTCTGCAGATATGGGAGACCTGGCACCGACCCAGCGTGATGTGATGGAAACGCAATTTTAGGGGGCTTCTTTCCGCCCAAACTAATCCAAAGTTCGATCCGGCGAATTGGGTCATACAGCACAGATCATGAAGAGCTTGAACGCTCCCTGCGGCTTGGAAGTCATGTGGTGTTGACATCTGGAGTCCTGATGTCGTCAAATAGCCGTAGCGCGGGCCATATTTATCCCGATGAGAAGCGTCAGCTCCATGTACCCTTGTACATCCTCGGAGCTTGAAGGAAGCAACTGAAGATCTCCCAAGTTCGCCGACACTATTTCGAGCGTACCCGACAAAAATTCAATATCCCACTTCACAGCGATTCACAGCACCGAATTTACCTAGCGAGAGGGATCGAAGAAAAAAGCCCCGCGACCGGTGGCGCATCACAGACTGAGCTTCGGCTCCAACAACCACACCACCAAACGTCTTGGCTGCGACGGCAAAATACCAAAAAGATGCGGGCAACACCATCACTCATGGGCAAGGGCTTCTGGGCTCGGAGTTTGGATCATTTCAAGCGAAGCGCGACCATTGGTGAGCTCCTCCTGCCCCCAGGTCTGCTCGTCGGCCCCCACTAACCCCGTCCGTCGCAGCTTTCAAAGCAGAAGGCATAAAAGGCGCGCAAGGCCCTTACATACTCCAAGACTTCCGCGCACCCAACTCGACCGAAGACTGCAAACTCCTCTCCGACCGCGAAATCGGCGGCTTCTCCGAGGTCGCCCTCGACTGGGTCCCCTCAACATCAACCTCCCCGACACAAACCTCCGAAAGCACACCACCAACAAGGACCGGCTACGCCCGCTTCCACGGCACGATATCCACCGCCCTACCGAAAGACGACCCCAAGATCCAGCGCACAGGCTTCGCGGCATGGCGCACGCCCAACCAGCAGCCCACGGTGTTCGGCAAGTCATTATGGGACATTGACCCCTACGTATACCTTGCGATGCGCGTCAAGTCGGACGGGCGCAGCTACTTCATCAACCTGCAGACGGACTCGGTCGTGCCGACGGATCTGCACCAGCACAGGCTGTTCGCGAAGCGGCCGGGCGAGTGGGAGACGGTGTTTGTCAAGTGGAACGACTTTGTGCGGACGAACCACGGGTTCGTGGTGGAGCCGCAGACGGAGATGCTGAGGTCCAAGGTCACGACGGTGGGAGTTGGACTCACGGACCGGAGGCCGGGACCGTTTGAGCTCTGCATCGAGAGGATATGGGCTACGAATGATGTCGAGGAGGCGGAGGCGGCAGAGGCGGAAGCCGATGCGGCTGCTACGGAGAAGGCCAGGCAAGCGAGAGAAAGCGAGTTGAGGAATAAGCAGGGGCAGAGTATCCGGTGGTCAATTAGGTGATGTGCGAGTCCTACATCAGGCTGCACGAGGAGCTTTGGGGAACGTGCAAGTATAGCAGTTGCTTGCTCGCATCTAGATTGCCGGCGGAAGCTGGCAGGCAGGTCTGAGAGACAGCTATCAGTGAGTACAGCACGGGCAGCTCAGAGACGACTGATGGCATGCTTGGAGCTGGATTGGACAGTGTAGAAATATTCTGTAAAAATACCAAACGAAGATCAATGCTCTTGGAACAACGCCAGACATTCCAATTGGGTGATAATAAAGATGATCGGAAACATTTGCCGTGAATCTATTACCATTTTGTCATCCCGCTAAAAGGTGCTCCTATGACCATCATCGGAGGAATTTCCATTTTCTTGAGAGAGGATAGCTGTGTTGATGATTGGTCAAAATGACGATTTTATTCCCCGGCATTTATGGCCAATCACACCCCGCCAAAGTCACAGTGTGGACCTCGAAGCATCACTCAGGAACTCACTCATCGCATCACGACCGGTAATTTGAGTGAAGGTGGAAGGCGCCGAAAAGTCGTATAATCACTGGTTTGTACAAGGCAGAAGAAGCTGCTACGTTCCTAACGCGCTGGTTCAGCTCCTGCTCAAGGGCGTTTCGTTTGGCGCGGTCCCGACGCGCCTACCGCCTTCACTTGCCTTGAACCTCCAAAACATGGTCATTCACGACCCTGACGATTATCGGCACAACTACAGATGATTGAAATCGAAACTTCATCCTGAGGCGAGACCAAAGCATTTTCGCACTGACGAGGGCACGCCATGGCGCGCTACCTCACGCCAGCCAAGATTGGCCTCCTCGCCCTCGTCGAGCTCTACACAGACGAACACGTCCCCAGCACAGCCATCATCCCGGTCCTGTCCTTCATCACATCCCGTCTTCTCGACCCAGACCCGCAGAGTCTGACAACCGCCGCCAGCATAGAAAACCGCTGGCAGAAAGCAGAGAGCACCGTCAGCCTTGTCATCGGAATCAAGGATTTCGAAAAGCTGCTCAGCGCTCACTCCGTTGTCGTCGGTCTGCCTGGGAGGAAGCTATGGGACACATTCCTTGCAAAACTATGGGACATCAATTCTCTGGATGCACTTCATGAATTCTTTGGTCGACAATCGAAGTGCCTAGTCAAGACGAAAGAGGAACTGCGCCGACTTGGGATTGAGGGGGATGCGGCGGCCCAGGAGCAACTAAAACGGGCGGGCATCACCCTGTCGAGAAATTCGCCCCTCGGGCAGTTCGTCAGGAGGAGTCAGCTGGAGTTCTCGCGACTGCGGTTCCACGATGTCACGCAACTCTGGACAGACTTTGTTCAGTACCGACAACCCACCGCGGGGTACCTACGTCGGAGGAATCCGTCATTCGGACGGCTGAGCTTCGACAATGTGCTCATGACGGGAGACCAGGCGGATTGGGATCCGGAGGGCGTGGCGGCGCTGACTTCTGTCGTCTACGGGGACATGGTGTCAAGCGGCACGCCCTCTGCTGTTCCAGTCAGTACAGATGACATTGAGCTCTTGTTGGAGTTTCAAATCGATCAGATGCAGAGTCAGTCCATCGCGTCGAGAAACCCGAAGCAAAGCTGACCAGACCAGAATTCGGCACACGAATACCGCTCGAACTCCGCAACCAATTCCATGACCTTCTGGGCGACAGCTTTTTGGTACCCAGCTTGAGGCATTACTTGAGGTTCGTCTCGTTTGCCCTTCCTGCTGCAGCTAGGTTGCTAACCTTTGACAGCTTTCTGGACGCGTGGAAATCCGGCGATTACCCCACAGCATTCGATTTCCTCCACCAGTATTTTGACTACACGATGCAGAACCGGGACAGAGCATTCTACCAATACGCGCTAATGAACCTGGCCGTGCTTCAGGCAGACTTTGGCTGCTACAAAGAAGCCATGGCCGCGATGCTCGAGACCGTGTCCACGGCCCGCGAAAACCGCGACATGTCCTGCCTGAACTTCGCCCTTAGCTGGCTCTTCCACTTCGGTATGGCCCATCCAGATCTGGTTAAGGACTTGGAAGCGGACAGTCTGTTGGGTACAGCAAAGGAGAGCCTTGCCTACCTGCGCGTTAAGGCCAAGGAGACGGGAATGTGGATGCTGTGGGCTTCAGTGCTTCTCAGCGAGGCAAAGCTCGGTCTCGCAAACGGAGAGAGTGTGGCCACGTCCATCGAGCTCATGGTCCGCAGCTCGCACCTGGTTGTCGAGCGGAACATGAAGAGCATGTTTGGGGGTCAGCTTTCCATCATGATTGCCTTGTGGGACAGGATCGGTCTCGCGTCGCTCTCGGCCATGAACTGCGAGATATTTCTTCGCTGTCACGCAAGGCATTCGACCTTTGAGGACGAGTTGAAGATCACGGCTCGCCTAGCTCAACAGCTCGTGGCAAGGGGCAAATTCGACGAGGCGCTGCAAAAGATGGAGACCTTGGACGAAAACTCGTTGCGAGCTTGGAAGCCGAACCAATACTGGTTCAAGTACCGAGGAATCATCAAGCTGAGGAGAGATTTGCACCATAACAACCTTGATGGCGCGGAGCAACTCCTCGCCCAACTTTTACAATCGAAGAAAGACGACCTCGAGGTCGACATGGCCTTCGTCATCGACTTCCTTCACGTCGACTGCCTCATCCGACGGGGCAACCTGCCAGAAGCTTTTTCCAAGGTAGAAAGCATGCTTGCTTCGCTTCGGGACGACAAGAGGGACATCCAGCTCCGCGTGAGGTTGATGCTGCTCAAAGTCCATCTCTACGACAAGTGTGGTCGGCCACAGCGAGGGTTTACCATCGCCATGCGGGCCGCCAGCATAGCTTGGAGGTCGAGGCTGGTAGCGAGCTTGTGGCAGGCCATTGGTGCCATCGCCAACATCCTGACGTCGCTGGAAGAGTTCGAGGCTTCCATCCAGCTGCTCAACGCCATCCTCCCACGCAGCCTCGAGTGTGATTCGGCGGCCCTGGCAGGACAGCTGTATTCCTTCCTCGCAGACGCCAACATGGGCATGGCAGGCAAGATGGCGCCACAGTCAGCGAAGCGCAGGGAATATCTGACTCGAGCCACCGGCGCCATCCAAAAGGCGTTTGATTACTATTCCAGCATCGAGGACATCACACGGCAGTGTGAGATGATGGCCAAGAAGGCCACCATCATGAAGGTGGCGGGAGATAAGGTCCTCGCAGCCGACTACGCGGCCGCATATGTTGCGTTACGGAAAAGCGCTGCTTCGCTCTCGGTATCATAGGCTATAGACCGACAGAGTTCATTTGCATTGGGACGGTGCATAAGTAATGCAATGGGGGTTTCTTTAAGAAGGCCGCATCTCTTCGATTGCTGTGACATAGGGAAAATGTACAGAATAGTCTACCCCCCAACAAGCGTGTCCCGAGTCTATGGATCGCTCCCTCCCCGATGCGAGTTCACGCATTCTGGTGCCCGAGTTCTGGCAATTTAAGCCTTGTCCTTGTTGTGATAGTTGACGGAGTCGTTCCAGCTGTGGACTACGTTAGCACACTCGCCCCGTCTCTCATAGCCCGCAGGAGGGGTGAATACGTACAAGAGGGTCTTGTCACCGTTACCCCACTGGTAGTTCTTGGTGCGGATGTTCTGGTAGGGGTACTCGACGCGCTCCTCCAGAGGGGGCATGTGGCTCCAGTGCTCCCAGTGCTCGTTCCAGAGGACGTAGGCGTTGGCGCCGGCGAGGGCGAGGGCGGGAATGCAGGCGCTGTATCACACACACATGGTCAGCCTACGATCTCCTTGGCTCAAGGTTTCCCTCGATCTCCGATTGACAAATCCCGCGTGCCGTCGAGTCCGTGATTCATGCCCCTCCAATCCCTATGCGAGTTCCGACACTTCCTCCGTCGCAACATCCTGCATCAACAATGTCTTCGACGGCGTAGGGATTCCCTCAATCGTAGGAGCGAGTTTTCTTCGAGGGGTCTTAGGGGGGAGGCATACTAGATGGAGATCTTGCGCCAGAGTTCTGTTCACGGTCGTTAGCATTTCTATATTTCACTCAATTGGTTTCCCCCCAATCGCCCAATTGGCTTCCGTCCCCAATGTCACTCTTCTCTTCTCCTCTCGCAATCCCGCACAGCAGCAGAAGGAATGATATGACGAACCAGTGGTGCCGGCGGCGTGGTGCTTGGCAGCCTCGCGCTCCCTGACGAAGGCGTTGTCGGTGCTGGCGAAGCGGCGCTGGACGGTAGAGCGGGCGGCCGGGGCGCGGGCAGCGCTGCGCGCGGCGGCGGAGAAGAGGCGGGCGCTCATGGTGTGTGTGCGGTATCCGTTGTGGGTGGTGGAGGGGAGATTTTTTGTGACGTTCGGTCGTCGGTCGGCGGTGGTGAAGATTGAGGTTCGTTGCGGGACGGGAATCAGGTCATGGAGCTCGGTTAGCGGGAACCGGTGGTGGTGATGGCCGGGTTTGTGGCCTGGATTGTTAGGCAGGCATGAGAGGGCAGGGATCTGCCGCTCTCTCTTTTTTTGGTGGGCGGGCTTTGCGGGATGACTAAATGATGTCAGGTCATTTGCGGAGGAAGTAATTAGGAACTGGTTTCCTGGGTGAGCAAGGCATTTAACCCCCTGCAAACGGCCAGAGTTTACCAAAAGGGAAACCCAAAATTGGCGTAATTTGAACCTGAGTTTTCGCTTGCTTCTTGGGTGTAAATAATGAACTGAATTGTCATCAGAAGGACGCCAATTGATGAGTTGAAGCAGCGTTGGATCGGGTCACGTGACACCGCCTCAAGGTCGTGCCGCGTCCATGACGGCAGCGACGTCGCGCGGTCACTCACGACGTGTAAGCGGTCGAGGGCGAAGTTGCTCCAGCCAGACGCCTTGGTCTCACTTTCTCGCGTTCGTGAACGAAAAGGCGCCAGTATTTGGGTCGTGTTCCTCTTTTAGTCACTGACTCGCCGCTCGCTTCTACATCTTCTCTGTATTGGTCCTTTCATCGACGTCACTCGGCATCTCTGGGATTTTTCGATGTTGAAGCGAGGTGATACCGGCGTTTGAGCGATACCCATTTGATTTAAGAATTGCAAAGCTCAACTTCAAGAGCGGCTGTTCGTCAAAATGGGACTTCGCATCGTGACATGGAACGGTGAGTGAGCGCACATCTGGTGTCCCTTCAAGGCCGGCTTCGCTAACTCATCTCAAGTCAACGGCATCAGGTTCGAAAGCCTCCGTGTGCACACCCATGAACAGCCAGCCTAACAAAGTTCAGAAACCCATTCGGATACCAACCATGGCGGGAGAAGCGAACATACCAGGTCCGTCGCCCCCATCCTCACTAGCATCCCTCCCTGACCTCCTGCCCAGGCAATGTTCGACATCCTTGAGGCGGACATTGTAATCATGCAAGAATGCAAAATCCAGCGAAAAGACCTCACAGATGAGATGGTCCTCGTGCCCGGTTGGGATGTCTTCTTCAGCCTGCCAAAACACAAGAAAGGTAACACCTCTCCCGCAGCCGCCCTGTTCTCTCACCTCTGACCAACACACCCAGGATACTCCGGCGTGGCAATCTACACCCGCAACGCGACCTGCGCCCCCATCCGCGCGGAAGAAGGCATCCTCGGCGTCCTCACCCCGCCGGGCTCCTCCATCCCGTGGCGCGACCTGCCCCCGGACCAGCATATCGGCGGGTACCCTCGCGCCGGCCAGCTGTCGTCCGAAGTCGACGCCGCGACCCTCGACTCCGAAGGCCGCTGCGTCGTCCTCGAGTTCCCCGCCTTCGTGCTCATCGGCACCTACAGCCCCGCCACGCGCGACTCCTCACGCGACGACTTCCGCCTCGGCTACCTCAACGCCCTCGACGTGCGCGTGCGCAACCTCGTCGCGCAGGGCAAGGAGGTCATCCTGACCGGCGACCTCAACGTCATCCTCGAGGAGCTGGACACCTGCAACCTGCGCGAGATGCTCCGCAAGGAGGGCATGACGGTCGAGGACTGGAAGGGCATGCCGTCGCGACGCATTTTCAACCAGCTGGTTGTCGGCGGCAACGTTACCGGAGCCCGGGACGAGGGGCGGGAGGAGCCTGTGTTACACGACCTGACGCGCATCTTCCACCCCGACCGAAAGGGCATGTTCACCTGCTGGGATACCAAGCGGAACACCCGCCCAGCCAACAACGGGAGCAGGATAGACTACGTCCTCTGCTCGTCGGGCATCAAGGACTGGTTCACGGATTCGAACATCCAAGAGGGGCTGATGGGGTCGGATCACTGCCCGGTATACGCAATCATCGGCGATGTGGTCAAGAAGGACGACAAGGAGGTTCCCATCGTCGATCTGATGAACCCGAGCGACATGTTTCGACGGGGCGACCGTCTGCGAGACTGGGCCGCAAAGGACCTCCTCCCTCTTTCCGCGAAGCTCATCCCCGAATTCGACAAGCGACGAAGTATACGAGACATGTTCATGAAGAAGCCGACCACAAAGCCAACGACCGATACCCCTCCCTCTTCCATCCCCAAAAATACCCCTTCTCAACAGCCAAAGAGCCCTTCATTTCCCAATGTTCCCGACGATCCTCCCTCACAAACCTTTGCCCCGTCGAACACGAGCAAGATACCTCCGAGCGTCGCTGATAGAACGTTACCTCCATCGTCATCTGCCCCCGTAAAAAGGCAGACCGAAGCGAAAGACACAAAGCGGTCCCTGAAGAGAACAAAGACGAACGACAACGACTCCAAGACAAACAAGCAGAGCACTCTGACTGGCTTCTTCAAACCCAAGGCCCCGGCTGCGAAGCCGACAGGCGCCCACGTAGACAGCGAGATAATCCCCGATTCCAGCGACAAGAACAATGGTCCCGAGGACCAGTCACAGGAGAACAAGGCTGCAGTGCTAGCCGGTTCCTTTTCAACGGTAGCAGAGGTCCCTGCGGCTGCGGAGCCGTTGACCTCGCCCTTGCCCAGCAAACAGCAACAGCCGGCATCAACCCTGGACCCGTCGGCTAGCGAAACTTCTGAGAAGGTCTTTGATCCCATCGAGACCAAAGAAGCGTGGTCCAAGTTCAGCCTGGGCAAGAGGGTCGTGCCCAAATGCGAACACGGCGAGCCTTGTGTCAGCTTCCAGACCAAGAAGCCCGGCATCAATTGTGGTGAGATCTATCCAAGCAACGTCTTCCTTATTCGGAAAACTTAGGCGAATGCCGGGGGTCGTGATTGGTGCAATGGGTACTGACGATCTGTACAGGGAGATCATTCTACGTATGTGCCCGCCCGTTGGGGAAGTCGGGAGCCAAAGAATCGGGGACGGAGTGGAGGTGCGGGACGTTCATCTGGAGCAGCGACTGGAAAAAAGATCAGACCTAGTTATTCCCGTGATGCGCAGTCGAGACAGTGGCTGGGCATCATGGATGGTGTTGGCAGTCTGCAGTGGCGAAGAGCAACATGTGGGCGAATCAATGGTCCTCACGGCGGGGGGCAAAAGACACTCTAGGTATCGGGCTGGAATAGATGGTCCATGAAGATGATATTTACTGGCTTGCAGATTATAATTACAGAAAAAGATTCGTATTCGCTTGACATGCGAATACATGGGTTGTGAGTACATTTTTGCACCAATATGTTCATCAAATCGAAGATCTCTGCTTCGCGTTGCCATCGAAGCAGATGGTCCAGGATGATTCTTGGTTCCTCAGATCCGGTGATCTCCTAGCGTTCGTACGTCTAAGTATCGCCGCACAAAGGTCTGTTGGTTTCTCGCGCAGGTAACTCTTGCCACAGCATGCGGGAAGTGAATCGACGAACAGATGCGTGGTCGCCTCCTGGGTCACGCTGACTGGATAGAGATCGAAGACAGCCTCCAAAGGCGCCATGTTCTGAGGCTCCTCTGGTCGCTGATGCTGCCAGTCTAGAACACAAGGACGACCTAAAGTCGTTTGGCAGCGCCGATATCTATTCCGTTCCATGACTGATACTACAGCGACTTGTCGCAGTCGGTAGGTATAACTCATACTCCTCCGTCTGGAGCCGACAAGTCGGCGCGCTGATGGTTTTGTCGCTCTCGGGTAGGAGGCGGCCTCTACCTCATCGACGCTGCTAAGCTGGTCTTCTTGCTTTGGCCACTAGGCTTTCGATGGCGCTTCTCAGACGGCTTGCGAGGGGTGTAACGGTAGTCGGGATACATCATCAAGAGGCGCTCCTTGTGCATCTTTGCAAGTTCGGTATACTTCTGGCGCACGGCTGGTGATTCGCTGTTCCATTTCTTGCCTAGGCTAATGGCTGTTGTTGGTCAGCGCCTGTTCCCGAGGGGAACCAAGTCAAAGTACTCACAAATATCGTTGTTGCTTAGGTGACTGTTTTCCTGCTTCATGGTGGCATGGCGATCTTTGCGGTAGAGAATGAAGGCATTGGGAGGTCGAGGAACCTTGATCTTGCAAACAGGCTCTGGGCTTTCGGTGCAATGGGCGCCAGCTTCTGAACCAGAAGCGTCCTCAAGGAAGTGGCTTGGTGGCCGTTGGACAACAATAGCGATGCCGTTGACCGAGACGATCATGTGGGGGCCAGAGACGAACTTCTCGCAGGGCCCGAGGACCCATCTGTCTGCGTTGCCGTCCATGCCATCCTTTGCCCACATGACGGGCTTCCTGAAAATCCGTCTGCAGCGTATGGTTAGATGCGTTCGGCATGTCGATTGAAGGAACTGAGGCTGAAGGTAGACCAACCCCATGTAGAAAGCCATGAATGCTTGCCCGTCCTGGCCAAGACCAAGGTAATCCTTCTGAGAGACAGCAACAACGGACTGGAAGCTATTGAGCTGAAGGTCCAGTGTCTCCTTTGCGATCTGTAGAATATCATGTTGTAAGCGAGAAGGATCCATGCAGCCGGCAATGGTCTGGCCGGGATTGAAGTCGTGAAATGACATGGCGAGCTGGCGAGGCGGTGTAAGACGGACAGGATGCGGGGTTGAAGTTGGCGCAGACGTTGCTAGAATTATGGGTATGGGAAGTGGTGTGTGTAGATGAAAGGATGGATCGTGAGATGGAGACAAGATCTTCCAAGATCGATGGGGTCTCGGGCAAGATATACTGTCGAGGAAGTGCCAATTACAAACGAGGCATAGGTAGTCCAGGACAGCTTTCGGGGAGAGTGATGAGGAGGGTGCGAGAGGCAAGATACGCAGTGCAAATCACATAGGGAAAGGCTCGTTCATAGAAGGGTCCTAAATTTGGGGAAAGCACCCCTCATCACAGACCAAGCTCATAGAACACAGACCGCAATGCCTCAGGACGACGGACGAGGAACGGGTTGGCGAGAGTGCCCAGCCTTTTGGTGTGGGACAGTGTCTTAAACCAGAGATCACCGCAGGGGATCCATCTTTCTGTGGCAGGTCTGGATGGCCATGGCAAGCTCGGGTTACATGATGTGTCTGGGGCCCTGCCCTGGACTCTTGGAGAGGGGAGGAAAGGCCAGGGCCAGGGTCAGGGCCAGATGAGGAGGAACCCGCCAGCCCTGGACGAGGACGTGGAGGTGCATCGATGTCGGGCGGTCCTTCGGTATCTGCACCTGTCCGTCTACCTTACCTTCCTTGGCTTCCTCCCACTGTAGGCGAAACCACGACCCTGCACTATACCCATCATGTTTGTCCCTACGACGCGGCGACACCTGTCTCCAAGTAGTCAGAAGGAGGCAAAAGGGCAGGGAGATACTTTGCTGGATGACGGCCCGAGATGCAGGTACCTCGCACCGGTTTGGGGAGAAGAAGCAAGTCCAGCCTGCCCAGCTGTCAAGAGAATCTCAACGGCCGCTTACGTCTCCATGCAACCATGCAGTTTTTGGTCGACCTTAATCCACCGGCACTGCTAGCTGCAGTCTTTCCTCGCTACCGTCGTCTTTGCTTTCTGTTGCGGGCATAGGTAGCTGAGCTTCTTGGATCCTTCGGGTATAAACCTGCGTTCGGTGTTATCTCCCGTACGTGCCTCACTCCTAGAGCTGACTCCTGAGCGGTTAGAAACCCCATCATTTCCCCATTTTCTCGCGAAAATATCGTGCCCAGCTTCATACACATTGAAATGGTATTCCAGCACAACAAATGCTATAGAAGGGATGGCTATATCAGCAGCAATCCATGATACGTTACCTTGCTCTCAGCACGATGCAATGGTGCATGTTTGGATGAGCAGACCAGGCATGGATGATGTGCGAGGAAAATAGAACAGCTAATGACGGTTTGGGCATCTGTCAATGAGTCTTGCTCCTGGGTGCACACTACGGGCTGTGCTCTCTGCGCTCTCAGCACATTTGGGTGGAAAACAGCAACCAACAGAGGCACACCACCCCGCCGGGCTTGCTGCTGCACCTCTGATGTGGTTGGTGTTGGAACATGGTGTTGGAAGGGAAGGCAGAGGTGCCAACACCGCCTGTGCCAGCCAGCACCAGCATCCACCTCGGTGACAGGCAAGAGAAAAAACAAAAGATATTAGTCTGCCGGGCGAGGGTCACGAAAGTGCTGCATGCTGCCCTGTGCAGAGAGGGGGCTTGTTAGTTCTGATGCATCATGGTTGCAGCGGTCGCCATCTCAACCCTAAAATCCGGGATCAATGACATCGCCCGGGCTTCTCTGTGGACGTTCCTGCATTTTGTTGCTTTCGTAAATCAACGTATCACAACCTCAAGCCGTGCGAGGTTCAGGGCAGGCTTTACGAAGTTTTACACCAAGTTGATGTTTTCGAGAAGCTTTCCTGACGTCTTGCTCGGACTCACACCCTACATTGCCCTCGAGGTACATTCGACATTTTCTCCGGACTCCAGATTGGCTAGATCAATAAGGCTGCGACCAAGAGGGAATAGATCTGGTGCCCACAATTCTGTATTCTTTTCTTCTTCATTTCTCCAAAAGTCATTCCCCAAAAATACTTCTGCCGGATGTCATCGCGACGCTGTTTTCGGTCAAGGGTCGCTTTTGTTACATTTCACGAGCGTTGGACCTTTTTGTCTCTTCCATCTCTCCTTATTTTCGCATTTCAGTTCATCCGGTCTTTTACATCTTCACGGCATATCTTTGGACTGGCCCCCATCCGACATTTTCTTCTTTTGTACGATAGCCTCTTGTTCATCCCCTTCTTGAACCCATTTACACCGCATTTCTTCAGCCAACGGCTGCTATGGTTTCGGTTAGTATTTTGCCGCCACCTCATTCCAACATGTCTCGGGACGAAGAGATTGCATCAAGCGAGAGCCCTGGCATCTTGAGGGCCCAGGCAATGAACGAAGTTTTACCACGCCGCGATCTCGACATTTTCACCACCTCGCGCATGTTTCCCGAAGGGGACTGGGTTCTCTCAGAAGTCGGGCGTCCTCATCAGTTTCAGGCAGCCTACTGCGTTCCAAATCAGCGAGGACATCTGGTTCCCGCGCCTATGCCTCCAGTCAATATTTCGGCAGTCACCAACGAAGAGGAAATCTACAACCACTGCACCGTCTATCAATTTGCCCCTGGTGAGTTACACCATCATCATCACTCGGGGACCATGACTGACACCCTCCAGCATATCAAAGCCGAGGTGACACAGCACTCCACGGCGCTTCCAACGCAGCCAGCCACCAACCGCAACAGCATCTCGGTCGCGGGTTGGCGGCAACCAACGGCGACTACCAGCAGTTGCCGCCCCATTCCCAACCTGCCGATCAGTATCGCTTCGACTCAGAAAAGAAGGATCCCTTCATTCACTCGGGTGACACCAGTTTCTTCGCGAGTCCTCCCTCTTACGCATCCGCCACAGCCGCCCACCTGCATGCACCTCGTTCACGAGACAAAGAAACGGATTTGCCGCCCGCGCCGATGCATGGCCAGAATTTCATCAGCTTTTCGGAAGAAAACATCGTCGGCGAATTTCAAGCGCACCCTTCGATAGGGGCGGGCTCTTTTGCCAGCACGATGTTCAACGATTCCTTCCGTAACAGCCCGGAATCGGAAGAAATTCACGGCTTTGAATCATTCACATCACAAGACTTCTCTTCCAACATTCACGGCCAGGCAATGATTGCGAGCAACTCATTTGACATGGGTTTTGCCCCAGCGATGACGACGCACCTCCATGAGCTGGCCCTCACGGCCAGGCAATGATTGCGAGCGACTCATTTGACATGGGTTTTGCCCCAGCGATGACGACGCACCTCCATGAGCTGGCCCTGGAAGACATTTTCCCTACAGGCAACGGATCTAGCAGGGGTGGCCAGAGCCACGACGACGACGAAGACGCCCACGGGGAGAGCGAGATTATTCCCGTCAAGGCGCAGAGATAAATTCATCTTCCCAACCAAATTTTCTCTTTTGAGTTATCAACAAAACGTGGTAAACAATTTTTTTTTCTAAGTTGTGTGGTTGGGTGCAATCATTTGTAATTCTGGGCAAACATGTTTCAACTTGGGCACAGTTTGGTCCTGAACAAGGTCAGCACGCTCGATGTTTTCTGCCAAAAATCAGTTCGGAGGGCCAGAAATGGCAGCTTGTCTTCAGCAGAATTTGGCTCTATCGACTGGAAGTATGATTGCAGGACATTCGACCTCAGCTTCTGGAAGGTGGAGTTGGTAGGGGTTTTGGATCGCCATGCATTTCTGTCTGATCAATGATCAGGCTTTGCGCATGTTTCTAGCAATTTTCTGGATTAGACGCTAGATAGAAATCAGCCGAAAGACGAGACAGAAATGACAGATACTTTCCTCACTCTAGCATACCCTCAACCTCCCCTCTACCCCTGCCTCAGTGCGGCGAAGCGCGAAGCGGGCCACTTGACGTGACTGTTGCTGGCAGGGATTCAGAGCAAGACCCTCGTCGTCGAGATTAGCATCTAGACCAAGCCGAATTAGATCAGCCTCTTGCGCTTAGCGGCAGAAGGACCCCTGCAACGCCCCACATTCCGTCCGAACTGGGCTCCTCTGGGCCCCGTTTCTGCGATCGAAAGGCTCCACGGATACCCCCCTCCTTTCTCCAAATCTTTGACATGTCTCATCTGCGAAAAAAGAAATGCGCGAAAAGGGCCGCGATACAACAGCATACTTCCTTGCGCAAGAACACAGACGACAGGAACATCATTGCGCCCCTCGTATCTGCTTGAGACGTGCGCTTGGTGTGGTGGGTACCCCCCAAACTCATGCAGGAGAAGCTGACCGTCTTCAAAGCCCACTTTCAAAAGCCACCAATACCGGACCAGCGCAAGCAAACAACACTGCCGCTTTGAGCAAGATCAACGCTTGGGTCCTGGCACTTTCGAGGGAGGACTGCCTCCACCGCCAGGGATGACGACCCAGGCACTGCAGTCGTCTCCCTGAGAAATGGGCTGTTCACAGTCTTGTTGGCTATGCTGGGTCTGTCTGAGCAAGCCGCTCTGTTTCTTGAGGCACTCGATCCGATCCGAGATATGTGGTGGAGAGCACCGCCCCTGCCATCACTTCACACGCTCAAGGGTTGGACGCGGAACCCTGGCCCTGCAGCTCTTGGTCCCCGTGGTCGCCGATGTTCCCACTTGATCTCCAGCACTTGTCTTCATCAGGCGGAGCAAAGAAGGCGCCATCGTCACTGTTGCAGCCTTCCGTCTTCGACCAGACATACATGACCGTTGACCTTCTCTCCCCCCCGCCTTCTCCAAATTGCGACACCCTTCTGCAGCTGCGGCAGGAGCTGGCTGCTAGGGCTCAACAACGTGTCCCCCTTGTGATCCTCGCGGCACCTGCCAACCTATTTTTGCCCTTGTCAGGAAAGAAGGGAGGCCTTCACCGACCTTGCCGACATCATCGCCAAGAATCTGGAAGATGCCATCGACCCATGCCCCACGCAATCTGTCCAGCATCTTCGACTCATCGGCACTCTTCATCATGATCCGAGCCTGCGGGCCTCCCTGACCGCCTGGTAACGGCCCCCAAGGAACACGCCTGGAGGTCCAGGGGTACGAACGTAACAGGGACCCCTTTGGGATTCCCGTCTTCACAGGAAACGATCCCCTTGGTCACTCCGCGCAACGGCTGCCATCAGCTATCGGCGTCTAATTTCCGGCTGCCAAGCGATTGTCGAGGACAGCGTCGCCTGCCTTCTGGAAGTCACCGCCCTGTCCAACCGCCCAGATCCCGGCACTCGATCTTACACCTGGTCTCCAGCACAGACGTACGGCCGTAAGGCAACAGGGGACCGATGTTAGGTGGGAACAAGACACATTGGATGAGGCCGTTAGCCTGGAGAACACTCCCGTCACGGCCTGGCGTTTCCCGCGCTAGCTACGGTCGCTGTGTGGTAATCTTGTGGGGGGCTTTACCTTCTTTTCATCTCTCGAACCTCACAATTTGCCTCAAAAGCCTTGTGGATACGAATGCGGTCAAACTAGAGGCTTGGTTTACCGAGTTGACAGACCAGTAAAGGAACAGATGGGCCTGAGAGATGGGTAGATCTGAAGCAGCTCTTCCCTTTGTCGCGCCAGCAACGGAAGGGTTGTCAGATTCATCGCTCTCTTGCGTCGGGAGACCGAAGTGACCGATCCAGGGCTCAACTAGTTAGGCATGTGCTGGGAATGATAGACGAGGGAACCACACCATGCAACAAGTCGGTGCGCGTCATAAATTACCAGCAGCGGGCGCAGAGACTTGTCGTCGCTAATGACCAACAGGTTGGCGCGGGACGCGCGCTTTTCAGCGGCCTTGCATGAAGTACATTCTCTACCCAATACGATACCTCATGAGCCTCTAGAGTGAGTATCAGCAAGCGAAAAAGTGCCGGCTGTCATTGAGGAGGTGGCGGACAAGCGCGAGGATCGATAATGGGGCGATTGGTGAGATATACGATCGCGCTTGGGATCTCATGGTCTTGGAGTGGCCTATTTACGTGTGGTGGCACAGAGGTTCGTTTGTTACGAATTATACAGGCAGCAGTACAAGGCACTCAAAGACCAGGCGAGCACTGGTCGCCAATAGCCCCTGCAATGACCTGTCATCTGCGCTTCAGAATCCATGCATTCGTTCCGAATCTGACCACCAGCAGACTCTCTTCGACACATAACCTTGTCCGACAACACGCGTCAACCCTGCCTCGAATATCCAATCATTTTGTTTGGACTACGTGGTTCCTCGTCTGGCTAGCTCACTAGAGTTCACTTCGTACTTGAATGCCACAAGGCAGACATACCAGGGAGCAGGGAGGAAACGAGTGGGCTAGGACCAGGACATGCCGACAAGACATGAAAGAGGGACCCCCAAGGCCATCATACTCGTCTCAGCCAAGCCTAGCGTCACTCACAGAGCTAGTAAAAGCGGCTCATGTCTAACCAGAGCGCCGCCCTTCTTCACCAGCACCCTGGCATTCCTTGCCGCTTCCCCAAGGAGTTGTTCGCCATGTCGTCCGCCATGCCCTGCAGCCCCCCTCCTTGGCAAAAGGAGGCCTTTGATTCCGGGCCAATCGATCACCCCCAACGTACGCCACAATGACTGACAGGAGCCCTTCCGATTGCAACAACATCACACGAGGATGGTTGATACCCCTGGTGGCTTTCTCAACGGTGCCCACGGCAGAAGCTAACCCCCCCGGAGTCACCCATTGATGATACAGGCACGCAAACGGCTAGACGATTCAGTACTCACGCATGGACAGTTCTCGATGCTCAGATCTCATCGTAGTCTCTGGGCGAACCGGGGTTGTAGGAGGTGCCCGAGCCCACACTCGGGGATGAACGTCTTCCAGACGGCATCTTCTGAGGAGCGTGATTGGTGACCATGCCCGGTTTTTCACCTGACTTTGATCTTGTAGTTCAGTCTGGACTTTTGAAGCCAACGCTCGGGGTCACGGGAATCCCGAACAACGAGATTAATCGCTTGTCGTTGCCACTCTGGGTCTCCTGAACGTCTCAGTCTTTCTCTCAAATGACAAAGAACAGTATCTTTGATCATAAAGATGGCCTAGGCCGGATAGTATATCCGATGCGTAATCCGCCTGACACCGCGGAGAAACATCTTGTACAACTTCCGTGTGGGTTCCATCGGAGGCGGGCTCGACCTCCGGGATGAAGTCGACGAAACCACGTTCTTCGGAGGGCCGGACCCCGCCCCGGTTGGCGTATTGTAAGACACTTTGACTCAACGCGGGATCTCGGGCGACTCAGAACTGAGTCAAATGTCTGAGAGCCCCTTTGCCATTTATCGACGGAAAGCATTTGGTTTACTCTGGCAGCTGAGACCCGTCCCGTCCAGCAGATAAGCCAGCGGATGCGAGAGCGGACGCGAGGGAAGGACCGGCGCGAGGAAGCAGTATGGCAATTTGATTCATAGTGACAACTGACCCCTCGGTGATTGGCTGGGAAGAGACGATAGCCCGCCTTCGGGCTGTCTTAGCACGTCAGCTGGCGTTCTCGCGTGCCTCCCACGACCCGCGGAACCGCTGTTGTTTTCTCCCTGGCGGAAGCGGGAGATGAACGATCAGGACATGTCGTCGTATTTCACTTTGGAGCCGCTGCGATGCTGGGATGCGAGGCTGCTGTGACTCGGGTACCTGCTGTTTCGACGGGGGAGTGCTCCGTGATCCCGCGGCTGCTCGCATATTCCCCACAATAGTAGCGGCGACGGCAGCAATGTCGTGGCAACAACCTCATATTAAAATGTCTGGCTTCGGGTGATTGGCGATATGATGTCTCCTCTAGCAATACTGAGCCATAGAAACCAAAGCTGACTGCCAAGATTGACCCATCTTTCGGACAAGTTCCATATTCCCCAACACAGTGCAGCATCCTCACTCGTCAAACGAAACATCACCCGTAATCTTTGCAAACGCCAACCGCACACCAAAAAGCCACATCATCACGCCTCGGACTCAGGTCCGAATCCCCTCGCCAACAACAACTAACTAAACCCAACGGCCTCAGCTCCGACGCTCCCCCGAGCCTCTGCCCTTTCACCGCTTACGCTCCAGAGCCTTAGACCGCCGGACGTGTTCCTATTACCGGGCTTTCGGATGTCGAGGCGCTTCTCGCTAAACGGATCACTCGTGATGTGTGGCCTACATCCGTTAAGGGGAACTTAGCTAGGGCTGGATCGTGGAAAGGGCGTTTTCCGTTCTCATGTCTAGCTCGTCACTTCGGCGCTACGGGGCGGAGAGAAGGGCGGGAGAGGGAGACAAGAGACAACAAGCCACAAACGAGGGAGAAGAAGTCCGGGTGACGGGTAAGCAAAGCACGCGGGTAGTTAAAAAGCCAAGAAACTTCATCAAAATTCTGCCAGTCCTTTCCGCCCTGAGTAAATGCTCGCGCGGTAGATTGGGTGTGAAAATAGAGCTAATAAACAACGATTACCAACGAATGCTACTAGTGCCCGCCATCGCCAATCCACCTCGATGTGATTTTTGAAACTAATAAAAACGGGAATACACAAATGGCTCCTCTCTCGGGAAGTGACCGGCGATGTCGTCGGAACTCCCTTGACGGCGGAAGATTTGTCCATCATCTGATAGGACTGACTACTGTAGCCAGCGCGACTTCTACTCTTCCTGGTAGGAAATCTTGCGCATCTCTCCTAGCCTGTGTCGTGCCGCCGACAGGGCATTCTCCAGCTGCAGGATCTCGACCTAGTGGTAGCGTAACGCGTCAGCAAAATCATCGAAATATCGCTAAAAAAAAAAAACCTAAACCTCGTCTGCCAAGAAGGCAACGATGCCGAGTGGTAACGTACCTGCTGCTCCATCTCCCGGACCTTGAACTCGTGAGCACCGAGCTTGGAGTAGTCGACCGCCTCGTCCTCCTCATTACGGTCCTTGATGATGCTCTGCACCTGGCGCACAAGCGCTCTGCAGGCGGCGCCAACGGCCTTGGAGGCCTGCTCGAGGTTCTCCTGGCTCTTGGACATGAAGCCCGCCTTGACTCTGCTGGCAGCGACAAGCTGCGCGGTGGATGCCGCCACGTCGTTGGAAGCCACAATGAGCTGCTCGGGGCTGTTGCGGTTCGAGAGGACGCCGTCCGCAGTCTCGATGAGAGTATTGGTCGACGTCGCGACGGCCTTGGCTGCCGAGATGAGACCTTCCGTCCACCTGTTGTTCTTCTTGTAGAAGGCGGTACGCGATGAGGAGCCGCGACCGGCCTGGACGATCTCCTGCTGAGTCGCCGTGGCAGCCTTGATGAGCTGTGCGATGGCGTTGGTAATGGCCATGGCGGCGTCCAAGATCGTGTCGTGAACCTTGAGCTCGTAGGTAGAGTAGCCGTCGCGAGGCTTGTTCCTGAGCTTGGCCAGGCGAGCTGCGGCGGCCGCAATGGCATCGGCAGCCTTGCTGAGCTCCTGGTCGACAATGTCGCCAAGATCGCCCTTGCCTGCGAGTTTGCCGGCATTGGGAGCAAAGGTCTCGACGAGCTTGTTGAGCTTCTGCAGGTTCATCTGCACCTCATTATTGCTGTTGATGACAACATCGGTCTTCTGGATGGGATCCATGCCCTCCAGGCGGAAACTCTGGAGACCGCGGAAGAACTTGACAGTCGACATGGCAGACTGACGAGTGCCGTTCATCAAGGAGTCGCCCTTCTTCTCATCGGTAGCCAAGCGAGTGATACCCTTGGCGTTGGTGCAAACATCCGCGACGGCACCGGCGAAGACATTGATGGTCTTGATCAACTCAGCGTGAGTGGCATTAGGGCCATCAGCAATGAAGTTGTTGAATGCCGTGGCAAATTCCATGGCACTGGAAGAGGCCTTTTCGATTTGCGACAGAACGTACGAAGGCGAGGCGTTCTGGTTTCCTGCCTGCATCGTAGAGTCCAACTCGTACAGCGCGTCGTCCACTCTTTGCACACCGGACTGCAGCACCGAGTCGATGATGTCGTTGATCTTGTCCAGGTTGGCCATGATCAGGGCATCAATCTGTCCGTCAATAACCTGATCCGTATCGCCCTGGTTGAGCTTCAGCTCGTTGAGCTCAATAAGCGTCTGGTCCATGCCGGCCTTGTAAACCTCGAGCTCCTCCTCCTTGTCACGGAGAAGCTGCTCGAGGTCGCTGCTGCCATCCCTGAGCTTAGCCTGCGCGTCATCCAGAGCACGAGACTTCAGACGCAAAGCCTCCTCGAGATCGGCCATCTCACGGTTGTACTTGGACAACATGGTTGAGAGCTCGTTACCCTTGCTTCTCTCGATGTTGTCGGCCCGGTCCATGGCCATGCGGAGCTCGCGCTTCAGCTTCTCAAGCTCATCCTTGTTGGCCCCTGAAAGGCGGTCCTTATCGTGGAGCGCGCGATCTCTCTCTCTGATCATATCCGCGAGCTCAAGGTTTTTGGTCTTAATCTCACGCTCCAGCTTCTCCCTGCGCTCAATAGCTTCTTGCGCAGAGGCTGCCTTCAACTGAACAGACTTGAACTTTTGAAGAAGGTCCAAGTGCTCGTGGCGAAGCTGTGAGTAGAGCTTCGCAAGGGCCTCGTACTTTGTGCGCCATGTGTTGACCTGCTCTTGCAGAGCCCGGATCTGGTCGTCCTTGCTGCCGAGTTGCTGGCCGAAATGTCCTTGGATCTGAGAAAGCTCGCTCTCCAACGCCTTCACCCTCTGGTCGTACTGCTGCAGCATGAGCTGATCTCGCTCATACTGAGCTCTGGCATTAAAGTTCTCCTGCTCCAGCTCCGCAAGTCTACCCTGCGTCTGGTATTGGAGCTGCTGCTGCATGAGCGCCTCCTGTTCGCGGCGCTGCTGCTCAGCCAACCTACGCTGCTGCTCCTCGAAGTCGCGCTGCGCTTGCTCCTGTGCCGCCAATTGCATAGCCTGCTGCTGTCGTGCCTGCTCCTCCAACACCCTTTGCTGCTCCTCATATTCGCGGTTTTGACGCTCGAGCTCGTTCTTCCAGAACTCAGAGATATCATCTGGCTCTTGTGACTTCGGCTCAGGGGGCGGTGTCGGGCGTCTTTCGATCTCCTGTTTCGGTCGGGCGGGCAGCGCGGGCGCCTCATCGTCCTCCGCCAGCAGATTAGGCGGATCCTGCGGCAGCTTAGGAATCGTAATCAAGCTGGTCAGGTATCGGAGGTTTGAGCATTCATAGTAAAACTTGACGAGACGGTAGTGTTGAGCATCGTATCTTTCGCGCAGGGGTTGGAGCACATCAGCGTCGCCGGTTGCTACGAAAGTCAGTCCGATCGGTCATCGTTTCAAACAGAAAGGGATTGCGGGACTCACTGGAGTGCATGGCGCGCAGCATGCTCGTGATGAACTTGTAAATACCGTAGCTCTCTTGCACCAAAGGCACAAGAGCAGAGATGCGACACTCATTGTTTCCGACGTGACGGAAGTGCGAGAAGATCAGCTTCTGGAACTGCTCAATCTTGTCCTGGAGGGTCATCAGGTCGGTGATCGTCTCGTAACCTTCGTTAGGATCGTTGATGGCCTTCAGACTGAGATATTCTTCGTACTCGAAGGTGCCGTTGAATTCCGGGTGCTGCTGGTGGAAAGAAAGCTTGGCCAGGAGATAGTACACATATTCACGGATCAGGGGTCCGTATCCTCGCACGCCCTCTCCGCCCATCCCGCGGTTCAAGCTGTCAATCCACCCTCTCTGCGCCATGGCTTCCCTCAAGGTGTTAGGGTGTCCTTCTTGGAGGACCTTGTGCAAGGTAATCAGAGCCTTGAACGTCTGGACTTCATCGGCGAGAATAGGCTGGCTGCAGAGCAGCATTGTCAGCGTTTGCCTTTTCGTTACGAGCGCATTCACCTACACCTTGATCCCGGCCCAGAAGGCCTGGGAAGAGCGATGGTCCCATGTGTAAACAATGCAGCTTCGGACATGTTTTCTCTTCGGCGCAGTCTCGTCGGGGTTCGTGGCCTTCTTAATGTTGATCGCCAACTCCTGGTCGGTCCTGAAGAAGTGTCAGTGCACCGTCACCGCGAAATCAAGCCAGGCATTGAGCTGATGATGGAGGAAAATGACGGACTTGGTATGTCTGGTATCAGGCACGGCAGCCATCTTGTCGGTTTCGTACGCGCGCGAGGGCGGAACTCGTGAGGGGGGTGGTTGACACTGGTGTTCTAATCGAAATGGTCCGAGGATATGACGTCTCCCAAACGTTTAAAAGGAGACAGCTCCACGTGCAATGCTGCCTGACGGTCGCAGGGGACCAGACTACAGGAAGCAGCGATTAACGAGAGAATCGTAAAAAGAAATCGTCAGCGACTTCCGTGCCGAGAGGAAGAGAGAGGCGGGAAGAGTCGTCAGCGGTGACAAAGCTCTAGACCGTTTGGCAGCTCGAGTGTGGCTGGGTTCTGCAACATGCGCAAGCTCCGGCGATAATAGCGCCAAGACGACCCCGTAGGTTGCGATTCGGCTCGGTTCCAGTCGGGTTGGGCATAAAGCCATGGAACAACGCTAATCCGGGGCAAATCTCAGTGACACGGGCTGTCACTTTACCACTGCCACAGAGGGGCCAGGTACCTAAGCTCCGGACAGATGCCTGATCTGATGACGATAATGGTGGGGTAAAACGATCAAAGTTGGCCCCAAGAGGTCCCTGCGGCACTGCCCGGACTTCTAATTGCGATGCACACTGACAGGTTCTTGAAGATGTGTCTGTCGACAATCCTGTCAAGCGAAGTGATGAACTACAGTTGGAATGAGAGAGAAGAATTGCAAGCAATTGTGGAAGCTTTTGTGCAGCCGGTCCTTCGACACACGGTTACAACAGCGCATTGCATGTATCAAGAACAAACTCATGACTGTAGTCAAGGGGATGAACTCAGCTACAGTGCATATGCGGATGCACCAGGAATCGCCCCTCGCATCGATGGCGGGTTTCAAGTGAGTTGCCCAAGTGCATTGAATTCTTTCCCAGACCAGACCCGGAGCCAATTGGTTGTTTCCATATGCTGGGCAGTTATAAGCTTGTGATGGAACAATTTTGGCCGTTACTCATGCAATGCCGGCCCCGAACCTTGTTGATTGGTACTGTAACGGGTACGGGAGTAGCGCTGAGAGAATAAGAGAGTGACCAACCCAGACGAAGAGGATCCGATGGGATTTCAAGGATGGCAAGGGAAGCTTCGTGCTTTGTCATCACACTTCAAGAATTGCATCCAACACGCAAGGTCATGTTCTTCCATTGATCGAGGGTATCATGAAGCCCGGCGGAGGACCTGGGCCATCTATTCTGCCTGTCAACCAAACAGGCGCACTGGATTGACAGTGGTTTCCTCAATAACATAAAACACCCAGACACCGGACCTGTACCACGCTCCCGACCCAGAGGGACGACCCCGAGGCACGGCGGCAAGGTCGCAGAGGGGCCAACGGGTCTCACGGGTAGCATTTCGGCGTACAGGCAGACGATGAAGTGTCATTGGTTTCTTTTTTCCATTCCCTATGAACGTTGCCGAAAACGTGATGCCTTTCCATGCTAGAATTCTTTCCGTTCCTCACGTAAACACCCCATGCAAAAGAAGAACTGCCAAACCCCCCACAAAGACACTCTTAAATCGTCGTCTCGTAAGGAAGGGGGGTGACGGTCTCGGGCTTGTTCTCCTTGAAGGAGACGGTGCGGGCCTCGCGGGGGAGGGCGGGGAGACGCTTGAGCTGGACGGGCTTGCCCTCAGCCTGGGCCTTCTTCTTCAGGGCAGCGTTCTCCTTGACGCGGCGGAGGAAGTCGTCTCTGGAGCGGGAGGGGTGGATGTGCTCGATGCGGAGGTTGATGCGCTTCTCGATGTAGCGGTGCTTGACCTTCTTGTAGATGATGACACCGACGGCGGACTTGGTGACGTTGTAGATGACACCAGTCTTGCCGTGGTAGACCTTGTGAGGCATACTGCAGACCCGTCCTGTCAGTCTCCTGTTTTGCGCACACACAAAGACACACAAGACCCTTAACACCACACACACGGCCACAATTTCGGCCAACTTCAAAGTTTCCTCGATTGCGCTGTGTGTCGTGCCATTGTAATTCCAAGGTCGGGCGGGTTCGTTGCTTACCCCTTCTGGACGGCACCGTTCGCCTTAATGTCGACAATGTCGCCAACGCGGTACTCGCGGAGGTACGTGGAGAGCTTGATCATACCCTTCTCACGGAAGTTTCTGGAGAACGCATACTGCAAACGAACCGTCAGCAATCCGCCCGCAATCTGGAAAAATCGTTGGAATCGTTAGACATACGCGCGTTCCCGCGCGAAGACCCGCTGGGTGACCCATTTTGCCGGTGTTTTGTCGTTAAGGGCGGTTGGTGATGGTTAGTTGTCGTCGAGGTCCTGAGGAGATCGCGGAAAAAAAAACTCCAGGCAAAATTTCGCATTCGGCAGCCGTCGTGTGGGAGCTGTTTCCCGAGGCCCCTGGGGGGTCGCACTTTCCTTAGGGCACCTGGGTCCGCCACGTGACCCGCCATCCCCAATTGGGCAAGGCCAGCGCAGGGCGTCTCCACCACAAGCGAGCCCTGTCCCACGCCTTTCTTGCCCACCTTTGCATTTTACTGTCTGCCTTGACATTTTTTTTTCTTCGTGTATCGAACGACAACGACAACGAGGAAAATCGACGGGTCGGCAAGATGGCTCCGTAAGTTGCTGGCTATGGTGATGGCGCATTGCAATTCGACTTGCTGACGATGACTGCGCAACAGTCTCACTTACTCCAAGACCTCCAAGGTCCCCCGTCGCCCCTTCGAGGCCGCCCGATTGTCAGTATTCTCCGGCCACTGAACTTGAGCTTGCTCGGTTTACGTCGTGAATTCCGAAGACTGACTTCGACATAACAGGGACTCCGAGCTTAAGCTCGTGGGCGAGTACGGTCTCCGCAACAAGCGTGAGGTCTGGCGTGTCCAGCTTACCCTCTCCAAGATCCGTCGTGCTGCCCGGTATGTGTTTCTCTCGCTGGTTGCGCATGCCAACACACATGTTTGCGCCTATGGTGTGGGAGGGGCACAATTTTTGCTAACACCCATCACAGTCAGCTCTTGACCCTTGACGAGAAGGACCCCAAGCGCCTCTTCGAGGGTAACGCCCTGATTCGCCGTCTCGTGCGTGTCGGTGTCCTCGACGAGTCCCGCATGAAGCTCGATTACGTCCTTGCCCTGAAGGTCGAGGATTTCCTTGAGCGTCGCCTCCAGACTTGCGTCTACAAGCTCGGCCTCGCCAAGTCCATTCACCACGCCCGTGTTCTCATCCGCCAGCGCCACATCCGTGTCGGCAAGCAGATCGTCAACGTTCCTTCCTTCATCGTCCGTCTCGACTCCCAGAAGCACATTGACTTCGCCCTTACCTCGCCCTTCGGCGGTGGCCGCCCCGGCCGTGTCCGCAGAAAGAAGGCCGCCGCCGCCGAGAAGGCTGACGGTGGTGACGAGGAGGAGGATGAGGAGTAAATGCAACGCCACCATTTAGGCTAAGGATAGGTCAACAAAAGCTCTGGGACTGGCTGGAAAACAAAACCAACCATGTGGGAATTGGGGTGTTCATAGTCACGGCGTTCGCCAGAGGCAAAATGGAATGATTGCATCAAATACGGGATACCACGAATGAATGTTACAGAAAAGTCAATTTCCTTCAGGAAACACAGTTCACCCTTGCACGCCAGTGATGAAGGGAATGGGTATCATATTTGTCCAATGCAATGCCTCGATAGTCTAAACCAATTCATCCTTGCCCAGGAACTTTGCCATCGGATCGTTTGCTGCCGTCCGTTTTCTCCTGTACTCTTCCATCTCGGCTTCTGATACACCTCCCATCATCTCCTCCACCGTTCGCTTCTTTGCCACCTTCTCAGGAGGGATCTCCTGCTTCTCTTCCTCCTTGGGAGCCTCAGGAGCCTCCTCCTGAGCAGCCAAGGCAAGGCCAGTTCGCTGGCGTTCCGAAGCTTCCCATGCCTGTTTGCCTTCCTCGCCCGTGCAATAGCTGCTCTTGACTACCGAGTGACAACAAGCGTAACCCCATTGAAAGTTAGACCACCAACTTCCCCAGATGGAGGTGTGGTTGTGGATGTATACGTCCTCGGGGTACTTGGACTTCGCGATGACCTTCGGCGCACCCTTGATGAGGCCGCTCTCGTCATACTCAACGTACTGCTCCGACTCGGTGATGAGGTTCTTCATCTCTTCAGGCATCGTGTACTGCGAAGTGTCGCCGTACATGTCCTTGAGCTTCTTCTCCCTCTCCGCGCGCTTCTTCTCTGCCTCCTCCTTCTCCTTTTTGCGATAGAACTCTCCGGCGGTAGGGTTCGCTTGCAAATGCTGCGTGGTGTCACCACTCTTCTCCTGCGCTTCCCAGGCATACTTTTGAGCCTTTTCAAATTCGTTGGCATCGCCCGAACCGCGCATGAAGCCCTCCTCCGCGAAGAGGTTTGCCGCTTTGTCCGCAGTTGCACCTCCGTCCACCAAGGATCGCGTCTTCGGGTCGTATTTGGCCGAATCCAGGTCCAAGTTGACGAGATACTTGGCGGTGTCCTCTCGTATTCTGAGCTGGCGCGTAGCAGTACTCTGGTGCTTGCTCATATCGTTCTCTTCTGCGTACTTGTCGCCGTCATCTTCGTCCTCAGCGTCGCCCTTCTTGAGTGCCTTCTTTCTCAGCGCCTCCATCTCGTTGAATTCTTCCACGACATTCCGGTATTCCTTGGGGTCATATCCGTTCCAGCGGTCTCGCTTGGCGTCCCAGCCGAGGTTGACGTCTTGAATGACTTCATCTGCTTGGATATCCTTGCCAGTCCACTTTGCGCCTTTCGCGCGCGGTCTGCTGAGGCAGTCTTTGGCTTTGTGTGTCATGGCGCCGCAGTTCTCGCAAGCGCCCTTGCGGTACTTGGTCGCAGCCGGACCAGCCTTCCTGCCACGATCGTACCATTTTGACTGATCATTTTTCTTGTTTTGGAGACGCTGATGCTCGAGATAATCGGTCTGGTCGCCTTCTTCGCCGGCGTAGAACGGCCTTTTACTGATGAAAGAGGGGATGTAGATGTTCTCTTCCTTTGAAGCGGCGCCTGAGGCCTTCGGGTCGGGTTTCCGGGGGGGTGGTGGTGGAGGCATCTTGGCTTTTGAACAGAAGTGCGTCGTTCTGCTTGGTCGGGAAGGGGGGACGAGATATGCCGAGCGCACCTCGCAAAGAAATAGGTAGGCAAGTTTGACAACGTAAATGGCGAAACGCGACGAAAGTGAGGCCGAGCTTGAGCAAATCCGATAGCGTGGCTGAGACATTAAATTGTGGCTGGTTCCAATCTTATCGCCACGTGAGACCGCTCATCCTAGGCGTCAGTGACGCGCTTCCCATCGGCAACAACACGACTAGGTCGCGTCGCCGCTGAGCTTCCCAAAGGAGACAAACGCCCTCAGTATGTGCTCCAGCATGTTCGGTGCCTGCTTACCATGATTTCTGACGGTTCCGCCTCCTCTCATCCTCCATGAGTCTCGCTCGCAGCCACGATGGACCTGTTCAGGGTGAGGTTGAACTGCATCGACCACTACCAGGCGACACCAACACGTTACGACCCTCAGCTTCGCAATGACATAGGCCCTGCACAAGCCAAGAAGGGCCCCAAGGTCCCGGTCGTTAGAGTTTTTGGTTCAACGGAAACTGGCCAGAAAGTATGCGCTCATATACATGGGGCTTTCCCGTACTTGTACGTCGAGTATCAAGGCAGCTTGGAGCCAGAGGATGGTAAGTGTATTTTCACCGTTTTGTTTCATATCACAATCTCATCAAGTGTACAGTGGGAGCGTACATATATCGCCTTCATCTTTCCATTGATCATGCCCTGGCTGTCAGCTATCGGCGTGATCAATATGCAGATAATGCCAAGTTCGTGGCGCGAATCACCCTTGTGAAGGGTATTCCCTTCTATGGCTTCCATGTCGGCTACAGATTCTTTCTGAAGATCTACATGTTCAACCCGATCGTCATGACAAGGCTGGCCGACTTGCTTCAACAGGGTGTCATTTTGAAGAAGAAGTTCCAGCCTTACGAAGCGCACCTTCAGTACTTGTTGCAGTTCATGACAGACTACAACCTGTACGGCTGCGGGTATCTGGATGCGTCCGACGTCTTCTTCAGAGGCCCAATACCGTCTTACGATGTGGAAGGAAACTCCCAGCACCTCTGGCACGACCATTCTATCCCAAGAGGCCGTGTACTGGAGGACTTGAGCTTGCCCAGGGTCAGTCATTGCTCTGTCGAAGTTGATATTTGCGTGCAAAATATCATCAACCGCCGGATGGTGAAAGAACGCAGGCTTCATCATGACTTTGAGGAACGATTGAAGCCGCTTCCTGCGGATGTCAAATTGGTCTACAGCATGGCAGGGCTTTGGAAGGATGAGACTCGCCGGCGGAAGTTGAAGATGCCAAACGCAGACCCTGGCAGCAGTCCCTTTCCAGCTGAAGTTCTGATCTCGATGTCAGCAAATGCACGCGACTCGCAGCCGCAAGGATGGATTCACGAAGAGGAGTACCAAGAAGAAGTGGTCAGGCTCATCGAAGCCGAGAAGGACCCAGAAGACATATCAGAGCCAAACTTCGACACCTTTGTTGAGCACAAACCCCTGGAATCCAATGTCAAAACAGCGCTCCAGTCTGTGGAAGATTTGTACCCGACGAATCTCTTGCCCGCCTTAGGTTTGCCTTCCAACCACGCCCCATCAAACCAAAACCCCGCGAGCAGTATCGAAGTCGACGAACAGGGCGTTCTTGCACTAGGCGGTGAAGACTTTGACCCATTTCCGGTCGATTCTGACGAGGAGGCCCTCATGCAGTTGGACGAACTTGGTCTGAAGAAGGGTGACCAATTGGACCCGGCTGCTGAAAATGAGAGTAAGAGACCGGGGCGTCAAAAGCCGAAAACAAATGTGGCAGGTAATAAGGCCAATGGAGATCATGTTGTGAAGGCTCCAAACAACACAGTGAAGGGCCTGAGAGATCCTTCGCTCCCACCATACGAGGGCATCTGTACAAGCAGGCTCAAAACTGGCACTCCGCCTGTAATGCCTGTTTGGCAGGAGTTGCTCGATGCCGCCGAGGCGGAGGGTCTCGTTTCCAGATCGAAGGAAGAGGCACGCTCAAGCACGCAACGGAAAGTGGCAGTAAAGAGGTCGGTGTCACCTCATCCAGCGGCGCCTTCAATCAAACGTACCCGAACAGACACCACAGAACCATCAAAACAACCACGTTCTGCGCCTCCTGTCGCCACAAAAGCGTGCCTTCCAGCAGAAGGAGACTCGGAAATGAAACAGGTTGTGATGCTTCCTTCCATCTCCCAAGCCAACCCCCGCTCTTCTCAAGGCCCTGATGGGAAGCCGATGGCGAATCAACAATTGTCCTTCCCGGTAGTCAAGAGCCAGGAAGACCCAACCACCAGGCTTCGACTGAGCCAAAAGAGCCAGCCTCGGGGGTCCCAGCAAGAGCAGAAAGAGTCCCAGAAGCACGTGTCCTTCAACCTCGCTCCAGATACCGTAGGTACCAAGCTTGACTCTAACCCTACACCCAAGAAAGTCCGTATCGCGAGTCCGCCCAAAGATTCGACTGGGACGGAAACTCTGCTTCATCGAGCGCAGACGGCGCTCGGGGCTTTCTCAAACAAGAGACAATTCATCATCGGAACGCTGCCTCCCGTTCTCAAGGATATCACGTCATCGTTGAAGGACTTGCAAATACCCGATGCGATCTACCAAGATGCATATTACAGCGAGGAAAAGGATGTTCCTCCTCGGCCACGAGAATATGCTGGTCGGGAGTTCCGGCTCGAGAGCAACACGCTGCCCTACCTTGCAGACTTTGATCCGTCTGGAACGTCTGCAGCAAGTGTGGGAATGAAGCCAGACACGCCGTATGATAGGACCAAGACAGACCAAGCCTATGAGGCGCAAGGTAGGATTTGCTCATACCGAAGCTGGGAGCTAGCTCAACCACCGCCATCATTTAAGGAGGTGCAAGAATGGTGGGAGAAGAAGCATCCTCCGAAAAAGGGCCCGAAGAAAATCGATGGAAAACTTGCAGGAACCCCGCAAGCTTCAAAACGCTACCTTTCTCAAGTCGACGGCCCTACGCCAAAGAACAAGCATGGTTTCAAGTACTCGCCGAAAAAGAAGTCAACGAGCGTCAAACATGAGGCTCAGTATATGAGTACCATGGCTTTGGAGGTGCATGTCAACACGAGAGGCAAGTTTGTCCCGAATCCTGAAGAGGACGAGGTTCAATGCATCTTCTGGTCTATCAAGGCAGACGGCACGATTAGCGCTAGCCAGGACGTGGCTGGCGGCATTATTGCTGGTGTTGTCGTTCTTTCACCCGATGGTGAGCTTGCTGCGCGGATGAGACGATACATCGCAGCAGAAATCTTGGAAGAGTCATCTGAGCTGGATCTTATGGTCCGCATGGTGGAGATTGTCAGGGCCCACGATCCTGATATCTTGACGGGCTACGAGGTCCACGGCAGTTCATGGGGCTACCTTATTGAGAGGGCCCGACTCAAGTACGATTATGACCTCTGCGATGAGTTTTCTCGTATGAAGAGCAACTCCCATGGCCGAATCGGAAAAGAGAATGATCGTTGGGGCTTCAACACGACTTCAACTATTCGTGTCACAGGGAGACATATGATCAACATCTGGCGAGCCATGCGAGGGGAGCTGAATTTGCTTCAGTACACCATGGAAAACGTAGTGTGGCATGTGCTCCACCGCCGCATACCTCACTATTCCTGGAGAACCTTGACGGAATGGTACAAGAGCAGCAAGCAACGGGATCTCGATAAGCTGCTGCGCTACTATCTTGCTCGCACACGGATTGACATTCAGATCCTAGAATCAAACGAACTGATTCCTAGGACCAGTGAGCAGGCCCGACTGCTGGGAGTAGACTTCTTCTCCGTGTTCTCCCGTGGCTCGCAGTTCAAGGTCGAGTCTATCATGTTCAGGATCGCCAAACCCGAGAACTTCATGCTTGTCTCTCCTAGCCGAAAGCAGGTCGGTGGTCAAAATGCACTTGAGTGTCTCCCACTGGTTATGGAGCCTCAGAGCGCATTCTACAACAGCCCACTCCTGGTGCTCGACTTCCAAAGTCTGTATCCCAGCGTCATGATCGCTTATAACCTCTGCTACTCAACCTTCCTCGGCCGTATTGTCAACTGGAGAGGGATGAACAAGATGGGATTCACAGAGTATCAGAGACACAAGCGACTTCTGGAGCTCCTGAAAGACCACATCAACATTACCCCCAACGGGATGATGTATGTGAGGCCTGAGATTCGCAAGTCTTTGCTCGCAAAGATGCTTGGTGAGATCCTGGAAACTCGAGTCATGGTGAAGAGTGGGATGAAGCAAGACAAGGACGACAAGACGTTGCAGCAATTGCTTAACAACCGACAGCTCGCACTGAAGCTCCTTGCCAACGTCACCTACGGTTATACATCGGCGTCCTTCTCCGGTCGGATGCCATGCTCCGAAATCGCCGACAGCATTGTGCAAACAGGAAGAGAAACGCTGGAAAGAGCAATTGCGTTTATCCACTCACAAGAGCGCTGGGGGGCTGAAGTTGTGTACGGTGACACTGACAGTCTGTTTGTCTACCTCAAGGGCCGGACCAAAGACCAAGCCTTCGACATTGGCAACGAGATCGCCAAGGCTATCACCGACATGAACCCGCGGCCTATCAAACTTAAGTTCGAGAAGGTTTACCACCCATGCGTGCTGCTTGCGAAGAAACGCTACGTGGGCTACAAATACGAGAGCAAGAATCAGGTCAAGCCAGACTTTGATGCAAAAGGTATCGAGACTGTCCGACGAGACGGTACGCCTGCAGAGCAAAAGATCGAGGAGCAGGCGCTCAAGATTCTCTTCGAGACGGCGAACCTGAGCGAGGTCAAGTCGTATTTCCAGAAACAATGCGAAAAGATCATGCGTGGGTCCGTCTCGGTCCAGGACTTTTGCTACGCGAGAGAAGTCAAGCTCGGAACATACAGCGACAAAGGCCCACCGCCGCCCGGCGCGCTGATTAGCACCAAAAGGATGCTCGAAGATGCTCGAGCAGAGCCACAGTACGGAGAACGAGTGCCTTACGTGGTTATCACTGGTGCCCCAGGAGCGCGTCTTATCGACCGCTGCGTTGCCCCGGAAGACCTCCTCAAGGACTCGCACTCCCAGCTAGATGCGGAATACTACATTTCGAAGAACCTCATCCCGCCGCTGGAGAGGATCTTCAACCTGGTGGGCGCTAACGTCCGGCAGTGGTACGACGAGATGCCCAAGGTGCAGCGAATCCGTCGCGTCGACCAGACACTCGGTGGTGGGATGGCCAAGAAAACTCTAGAATCGTATCTGAAGTCTGCATCCTGCATCTCATGCAACGCCAAAATGCAGGTGGAGGGCGTCTTGTGCCCGAAGTGCGAGCAAGACGCGCCGTCGTCTCTCTTCAACCTTCAGACGCGCCTGAATCACGAAGAAAGAAGGTACATGGAAGTGGTCAGAATCTGCCGAAGCTGCTCGGGACTCCCTGCGGCAGACGACGTCCCTTGCGACAGCAAAGACTGCCCCGTGTTCTACTCGCGCGTCAAGCAAAGCACGAGACTCAAGACAGAGAAGAGCGCATTGGATCCGGTCATTCAGGAACTAGTACTAAAGGCAGGGAAGGGATCGTTGGAATGGTGAGGCTTTTGTGCTTTAATCAAGATACCATGTTGGTGTGGAATGCCTCTTCCCCGGCGTTTGTGAGGGACGTTTTGGCTGATACAACGGCCTTGGGTTGATAAAGAGCTATGATGTCACTGTTGGGCGGGCGGTGGTTTCGGTTGGAGGGTCGCAACAAAGACACACGGAAAGTAGCTGGAGATTACACGGATACAACTGGTCCAACACGACGGACTAAGAAATACGCTAAGACGTATTATTGACTTCATTGTGCTTTAAGGAGATGAGAAGAGAGCGATTCAAGTGCTGATGCGATACACCACCAAGCGAGTGGCATGTAGATTGGTCCCCGCAATGAAATGGTTCCTTTCATCTCGTCGCGCCAGATTGACTCTGTCTTGAAGAAAGTGAGGCGACTTGTTATGACTAGGTATCGACACCTAATGAATCCTGAGAAGTCTTTCTTCAAAGCCAAACAGTCAACCCAAATTTAGAGTGTCTGGGCTTCTGTCATGACCCATTACCTTCGTAGCTGCTCAGTGACCTCACGCTGCTCAGGGGACCCATTCCCAGTGATTCTCGCGGGGTAGACAGGGATGTGGGCTGCCGACCCGATCGGAGCTGCTGCTCTCCCGCCGAGGAACAGCGGTCTGCGGGTCATTCGGCACTCTCAGGCTCTTGGTGCGCTACGACTCCCACTAGCCGCCCTGCGTATCCACACAAGGTCAGACCTGAGAACGCCTCCGAAGGGCCGGCCACAACTCAACCTCACAGCGCTCACTCTCGCCCCCAAAGTCAAAGGGTCTCTGTACAGGCTGTCTGTAGGTACCTTTACCTGCCCAGGTGCTTTCAAGCCAGCTGTCATATGGAAGGCACCCGCCGCAACTCCATCACATGACGGCATTCGAGCAACTCATTGGACGCCGGAAGCTCCAAAAGTGACCAGAGTACCTGCCTACCTGACCTCCCACTGGTCTTACCTGATCCATTTTCGATCCAGAAACGCCGTCCTGCGGCCAAGACCTAGAAACCCGCGTGGGATTTCTTGTCCACTTTCTGAGAAGTCGCCTTTGCTAAATCGTGTGTTTATTTGCCTTCGTCCTGAAACAAGAGCTCCCATTCCCTCCCCGCGAAACACCGAATCGTACCACCCCGAAATTCTCGTCAGCAGTAACAAGCGTCCGATGCTCCCGACAACACCCCTCCACTTCGTCATACCCATCTGCTAGCAGCACTGCAGATCGTAGTGCAGCCGCAAGACAGAGGAAAGCCTGGGAGACGGAGGTGAAGCGACAGCAGCCATGGGGGGCTGGACCGGCTTCTTGTTCACCTATCTCCTGGGAGGCCTGACCTTCATACCTTTGGTCGTCGTCGCCGTCTTCGTCCATGCCTACCTGACTCTGCCCTACCGCCAGGATGCCGACACAAGCCTTGACGCCGATGGCGGTCAGGACTCCGTCGTGCAGCCCGGGGACGATCTCACGGCCCTGCAAGCCGCAAAGGCTGGCGATAAGGACGACGGCTCGGCGAAGCGGCCTGCGACCCAGGATAACGACGTAGCAGCGGGGTACTTCGCCGTGTGTCGTGAATACACGCCCATGGGGATCAACGCGAAGCCCATCGAGCGAGCCACGCCCACCGGGTCGACTACCGTCGCCGCGCCCAGCCAGAGCGTCTACCAGACCATGTATAAGAGCATCTTCGAGCGGAAACCGACACCAGGACCTTTGGACAGGAACGGGTTGAGCCAGCGTCCCAAGAACGCCGGCAACGTCTTCTATGTTGTTCTCAGGTCGGTGCACCCTGTCCATGCGCCTCACGAGTTTGACTGACAAGTACCAGGCATGGGCATCTGATGCTCTTTGACGATGACGAGCAGATCGAGGTCCGACACGTTATATCACTTGCGCATCACGATGTCAGTATATACTCCGGAGGAGACGTAACGCCTGAGGGAGAGTTGTATATCAAACGGAACGCGTTATGTTTGTCGAGGAGGCCAGATGGCCCGGAGGTTGGTCGGGACAGTCAGCTCTCCAAACCGTTCTACCTCTTCTCGGAGAACTGCTCAGCAAAGGAAGACTTCTACTTCGCTTTGCTCCGTAACCAGGAGCAGATTTTTGGCAATGACCGGATAGCTCCCAAACCGAAGCAATTTGAGGTCAAGAACATTATATCTTTGGTCCAGAAGCTGCACTCGTCCGAGGAGCATCTGTCTACTCGGTGGCTGAATGCCATGATTGGACGCATATTCCTCGGAATATACAAAACGACCGATTTGGAACACCTGATTCGAGAGAAGCTCACTAAGAAGATTGCGCGGGTGAAGCGTCCGTCATTCCTCACTAACATTGCCATCCGCGGGATCGAAACTGGCGAATCAGCCCCCATCATCACTAATCCTCGCCACAGGGATTTGAACGTGGAGGGCGAGTGTGTGATGGAGGCAGATGTACGGTACACTGGAAACTTCCGAATCGAGGTGGCTGCGACAGCTCGCATCGACCTTGGGTCACGCTTCAAGGTCCGCGAGGTCGACCTCGTTCTCGCTGTGGTCTTGAAGAAGCTTGAAGGACACATGCTCTTCAAGATCAAGCCGCCACCGAGTAATCGAATTTGGCTCTCCTTCCAGAGCCAGCCGAAAGTGGAGATGACCATCGAGCCTATCGTCAGTGCTAGGCAAATCACCTACACCATTATTCTACGACAGATTGAAAACCGTATCAAGGAGGTTATTGCGGAAACTTTGGTGCAACCATTCTGGGACGACATGCCCTTCTTCAACACAGAGCACAAGAAGTGGCGAGGCGGAATCTGGGAAGACGATGACGCTGTCGTTGGCTCGCCTAGCATGGAGGCTCACGTCGCACAAGAGGGCGATGTGGAGGGGGTTGACCGCTTGGAGGACACAGGGGACCTGCAAAGCGACCTCAGACCAAGCGATATGAGGCCGTTCGAGAAGAGTCACAGCATGCCGATCGTTGAGAATTCGTCACACACTGGCTTGTTCGGCAGGAAGATACAAGGCAAGGGAACCAGCAGCCCCTTGAACAGCTCGTCCACAAGCGTCGATGTCGTGGGCTCGCCTACATCACCGGCATCTAAGCCTAAGCCGTTTAGATCGCCATCCGTATCGAGTCCAGCGAACCCAGTGGTCGGAACGGATGCAGCTCACGCAGACATGTTTAAGCCGTCCAGCTCACCACCGGATCACGCATCCAGTATGATGGCAGCGCTGTCAGCAAGATCTCAAGGCAACTCCGCTGCCGCGACACCCACCGATACTCCCGCAAAGCCACCACCCGTCGCGAAAGCACGAAGCCAGTCCTCTGCATCCTCTCGCGAAGCTACCGACAATGAGAACGAGTCCGATCGAACGCCAGTAGCTAACAAAAGACGAAGCACGACATCGTCCGCCGAGTCATTACGAGCGACCGAGTCAACAGATCCAAGCTCAACAACGGCGGCATCCTCGAAAGCAGCCTCGATCAAGAGCGCTACAGGCTCAATCTCCAAGGGCTTGTTCAGGCGAGATACGAATAGCACGGTGGCATCGAGCGCTGCTTCTACAAACGGCGAAGGAAAACGCACCACGCTTGCTGCCGTCGCAAATGCTGCAGTCACAGCAAGGCAGTGGGGTTGGAACGCTCTCCAAAAACACAAGGACGCCAAGAATGGAAACGCCAGTGAGCAAAATCCGCCGGTAGACCTGAACCAGCCGATGGGACGAGGACAACCTCTGCCGCCACCCGGCACACCCCTCCCGCCTCCCGTGAAGGGTTCAAAGATCACCACGATCCCTGTGCAGAAGCGGAAGCCTATATCCCCTCCAGAGCTGCCTGAGCGACCCCATCCAGCTGCGCTGTCCGAAAGTCGGCCGGCTCGCAAACCGATTCCGCCCCCGTTGGTCGAAAGCAAGTCGGACCGCTGGGAGCGGAGACCAGTGCCGCCTCCCCCGCTACCCTCACGTCGCCACATCGACAACAGCAACGACGGCGGCGAGAACATGCTCGTCGTCGAAGCGCCCCTCGACTCTGAGCCCACGACTCCGATGGACGAGAACGGCCCTCCGTCGGCATACGTCCAGCCATGGGCCGAAGACACGGAAGACTATGAGGAACCGATCTCTACAACCGCTCCCTCCCGCGAGAGCCGTGGAAGCAACGGCAGCACCACCAGCGAAGAAGCAAGCCGCACCCCGCCGCCCCTCCCCGAGAGGCGCACGAGCCCCATCGAGGCCGTGCCCGCCAACATGGATGATGACGATGACTACTCCGCGTGGATGGAAGACGATAACACCAACGACGTATACGAGGAAGAGAACAAGAAGCCCATCATCACGGGAAGTAATGGGACTGCGGCCCCCACGGCAGCGACGAGCTAAATAGTGAATTTTTTGTTTGTCTCTTTGGCATCAGGGTTTCTGGGATTAGGGGAAATCGGGTTCTGGCAAACGGAAGGGGCGTTATTTCAGGATACCATGATCATTACCAAACAGCAGCAGCAGCATAAAGGAGGAGAGAGAAAGGACGCAACAGACGTTTGATACACTTAAAAAACTGTTCCTGTACATATGATGGTTATTGTCCCCGGGCTGAGAATAGCATATCCACACTTTATCAACACATCCGTTGACTTGATGCCTGTGTATCCGAGTGAGTCTAGTTTGGCCGGTGGACCTTTTCATCCGTCCGGACCGAAATTACGACAAGCAAAGAAGCTAACCTCGAAATGCCATCCCCCGTTTACGGGTGGCGGCGACAGATGACAAACGGCGCCTGAAATATCACATGTCAAGTCGCGGGATGATCCCAGTCGGAGCTGTTCCCGAGTCACGCTAGAACGCAAACGCGTGCGCGCGCCAAATGATCAAGGGCAGAAGCAACTTTAGGCATTACATCTACACTAGACTGCCGGAGCCACGCCCCCGCTTAATACTGAACGTAAAAAAAGAGAGAGTTAGAGAACAAGAGAGGTTGTACATAGAAGATTGTTGTTTTTTTGGTGTGTGAGTGTGTGTGAGTGTGTGTGTGAGTGCCAACAAACACAATAGTGCCGCGCTGTGTAAAGCAAAACGGTAAAGATGAAAACTCCACACTGATTCCCATCGCGGTGGTTTGTGTTTGTGGTACATTTGCCCAATGCCAATCCATGCATGCTTTAATCCACGGGTCCCCCCAGTTCGCCTCGACACGCCGGTGAAATGAAGAGCTCGGCAAGTTTGATTAACCCAACTCCCCATACGGAACAAGAACAGGTTGCTCCCCGTAGTACAACAAGAGACGGACACAAAAAAAGATAAGAAAGAGCCAGCATGATCCAGATAAGTTTGGATCTTGGCAATCCCCGGTGGTTTTTTTTTTTCGCGGGTTGGTTTTAGCAGGAGTGGCGGTAGTGGTGGTGGTGGGTTTGTTGATCAAAAGTCATTCGACTAAGACGCGCAAAAAGGAAATTGGTCGTAGGACGCGGTGTCCTGGATGCAAGTCGTGATTGATTAGGTCGGAAACGGAAGGAGAATGGTGCCTTGGGCATGCAGGGTAATCCCAGGCTGTTTAGACGGCAAGGAGAAGGTTGTCATAGACGTCGTGATCCGTTGCGTGCGAGCGAATTGATCATGAGAGTGGGGATGGTGCCCCCGAGCCAGTTGTGGCGTAGCGAGTGGATGGGAAGAATGCTTCATTGCTTTTAAAATTACTTGGGAAGGAAGGCTGCTCAACAGCCGCGTGGAGATGTTCGACGGGAATGCGAACCACCAGCTTAGGCTCGCGACCTTAAGGTGCTCATGGCAGACGCAGAACGTCCGGGTTGAGAGTGGGAGTGGGAGCCAGAAGGCTGGCCTCTCTTAGAGTGGTGATGAAGTGTACCAACGTCGTGCTTGCCTGTGAACTTGTTAGCATCGTTGCAATGTGAGGCTTCTTGCGGACCAGACTTACCATCGCAGCAGGCGCGCACGTTCTCCAGTCGGTCGGCATCCCGGTCTTGTCTCTCAATAATTTCCCGGAGGTCCTCGGCACTATCGTGCACCTCGCTGGCCTCGTAAATGCTGGAGTTGGGGGCGACTCCACTGCGGCTCCTCATGCTGGAGAAGGTGTTAAAGTAGCCGCTGATCCTTCCCAGGGTCCCAATGGAAGGTCTCTGGGCCTGACCCTTGTTGGGGGTCAGAGTAGGGACATTCATCGACATGTCAATCGCAGGGGACTGGTTGCGGGTCGTCCTCGAGTTGTACGAGGACACGGATGGAGGCGGCCGTGGGCGAGCCGTGGAGTTGGTGCGACGGCCAAACTGGGGGTTGAACTCGTCCACATCGGCCTGGGTAATGTGCCCAGCCATCTCTTCGACGTCAGACTGGCCCTCATCGGCTGTGCGGAGCAAGAGGTAAGACAGAGCGTTGAACCATGTCTCGTGTCTCTGGCCGGTTGTGCATGTAAACTTGATCGTTCTGCCAGGAGAGATAACAATCAAACTCTTGCGGTGGAGGCCGGGGGGCATGGGGTTGTCGTCCGTCACCACACGAACAGCCTCAATCGGGACACTCTTGCCACGGAGCTCAGATCGACCGGCAGCTGCCGGGTCACGGTCGCTCCAGTACAAGGTGCGAGTGTATGGGTGGACCCAGAAGTACCGTCTGTGTCTGTGTTCGGAGATTTCTCCACGGCCAGCCTTGCGGGTGTACTTCCACAAGTATTCTCCAATCATGGTGGAAGTGATGGCCTGGATCATGCGAGGGTCGGTGTTGGCGCCAAATCCAGATGGGTCCATGCCACCCAGCTCGTTACGAGGGTTGAAGCGATGGTCAATCTCGGAGACGAAGGAGGACACCGATGATTGTCTGCTCATGGTCGACAGCTTAGTCGGGGACTGAACAGCAACCTCGGCGGTTCCGTATGAAGGACCAGCCCGAGCCATGCGAGGAGTAGCCGAGTTCTTGGTGACAATTGACAGGGGAGACTGCGGCCGTCCGCCGTTAGGGGTTTGCGGCCGTTGGCTCCTCATGGCAGAAGCGGGCCACAGAGGGGGTCCCATGCTTCCCTGTGACGATCCAGCTCTGGAGCCAGTCCTTGCCGCCTCGATAGCCTCCTTGTGGTTCGTCGGCAGCGGTGGGAGCGGCTGGTTAAGCATGCGGTTGCTGCTAGCACTGCTTGGTCTTCCCATCTTTTGCTCGGTGGAAATGCTGCTGAGGCTGTCGTGAGACGGGCGGCGAATGCGAACAGTGCCCGAAGAGTTGGGAGTGCCAATGAAAACCGACGACTTGTCCTGAGCCTCGACAGGCTGAGCCTTGGCCAGAAGCATCTCATCGATTGCCTCAGCTGTGAGCGAAGTCTGGGCGCCCATGTCAGTCGTCTGGATCGTGGCCTTGCGGGCAGGGCGACCGTTGGCGTTGGTCGAGATCTCCTTGAAGGGCCGCTGAGACTCAGGTGTCTCAGACGGTCGAACTTCACTAGGGGATTGTCGGGTCTCGTCCTCCGCAATGATGGGGTCGGCCTGAGCCTTGTTCTTGCCGCGACCGAAAACAGAGCCCATGAGGCCGTTCTTGGGCGTTCTGGGCACATCCTCATCGAATGGCGATTCCATGTCGGCAGGGATGATGAAGCCGTCCCGCTTGGGGCTGCGAGGCGAGATTGGGTGAGTTTCGATCGACTCAATGTTCGAGAAGGCGAAGTTGGGCTTGGAAATCTTAGCCTCGGGCGACTGGACAGGCTCGACTTGCTGGGAGAGAAGCGTAGAGAAGTCCAAAGAGGGGACAGGGTCGGCGCGGGGCGACACGGCCTGGGAGTGAATGTTGGAGTACGCCAGGATCGCAGGGGGAGGCGCGAGGACCTCGGGCTCAGCCTTCGGCGCAATGTTCTCCGACGCGATGGACGAAAGGCTAAGCGCAGGAGGCGGCGGTGGCAGTACCTCAGGCTCAGCAAGAGGCTCAATGTTGGCGAATGAGAGCGAAGACAAGGTGAGAGTCGGGGGGAGCTCAGCCTTGGGCTCGATGTCTTCAGAGGCAATCGCTGTGAGGCTGAGGGTTGGCGGGGCAGGGATGATCTCAGGCTCCTCCCTCGGCTCAATGTTCTCGGCCGCGATTGACGAGAACGCCAACTGAGGAACGATCTCGGGCTCTGCCTTAGGCTCGACATTCTCCGCCACAATGGACGACAGAGTGAGGGCAGGAGGCAAAACCGCAGGCTCTGCTCTAGGCTCAAGGTTGTGGGCATAGAGCGCAGAGAGGCTGAGGACAGGAGTCTCCTGAACGACTTCGGGCTCGGCCTTGGGCTCGACGTGCTCTGAGGCAATGGACGAGAGACTAAGAATTGGAGCCGGCGCCGGCGTCGGAACCGGGATAGGTGCGGGCACGGCCCTGACGGCCTCGGACTCGGGCTCAGCCTTGGGCTCAATGTCCTCAGACACAAGAGCAGACATGGTGAGGTCGGGCGTAGGAACCACAGCCTCGGGCTCGGCGATGGGCTCGAGGTTATGTGCGTGAAGAGCAGAAAGGCTCAAAGCTGGAGGAAGGACCTGGGGTTCAGCAACCGGCTCCAGGTTGTGGGAATGCAAGGCCGAAAGGCTGAGAGCTGGAGGAGGAACTTCAGGCTCCGCAATTGGCTCGATGTCATGAGCTTGCAGCGCAGACAGGCTGAGTGCCGGCGGGAGAACCGGTGGCTCGGCCACGGGCTCGAGGTTGTGTGCGTGGAGTGCAGAAAGACTCAACACTGGAGGTGGCACCTCCGGCTCCGCCTTGGGCTCAACCGCCTCGGAAAGGAAGGATGAGATGCTCAGCGTGGGAGGCGGCACCTCAGGTTCAGCCTTGGGCTCAACAACCTCCGAGACAAGAGGGGTGTAGGCCAAGACAGGGGCTGAAGGCACGATCTCAGGCTCAGCCTTGGGTTCAACCGCCTCAGACACAATCGATGTCATAGTGAGCGGGGCTGGCGCCGGCAGAGGCGTCTCAGGCTCGACGACGGGTTCGATGTCCTGAATATCGATTGAAGACATGCTAAGCTCGGGCAGCGGCGGCAGGACGAACTGCTTGTTGGGGGATGGCGGCATAGGGAACTGCGCGAGCTTCTCGTCCATGTCGTACTGAGCGCCTGCATCGCTGTAGGAAATCGTGGACAGCGGCCGAGACTTGAGTCCGTCGGAGATCTGGTTTGCGGCCACCAAAGAACCAAGTGATGGGATATCTCGGTCATCGTGGACAACGCTGACTGGTGACATCGGAGGAGAGCGGACCATCGGCTCAGTCATCATTCCGGAATCAACCATAGCAGGTCTGGGAGCAGCTGGCCTCTTGACGGGGTCCGTCATGCCGCTGGTGTCGGGAGTGGTGAGAGACAACGAGGGAATGGTCGTCGTGGCTTGAGAAACCTCCGAATCAGCACTCGGGGTAGCAGATCTCGC